TTGTGACATCATCTGGCCGTGCCCGTCGCTGCACGTGTGCTTTGTGACGTCATCTCGCTGTTTCTGTCGCTGTACACGTGCTTTGTGACGTCATCTCGCCGTGTCTGTCGCTGTACGTGTGCTTTGTGATGTCATCTCGCTGTGTCTGTCGCTGTACGTGTGCTTTGTGACGTCATCTCGCCGTGTCTGTCGCTGCATGCGTGCTTTGTGACGTCATCTCGCCGTGCCCGTCGCTGCACGTGTACTTTGTGACATCATCTCGCCGTGTCTGTCGCTGCACGCCTGCTTTGTGACGTCATCTCGCTGTGTCTGTCGCTGTACGTGTGCTTTGTGACGTCATCTCGCCGTGTCTGTCGCTGTACGTGTGCTTTGTGACGTCATCTCGCCGTGCCCGTCGCTGTACGTGTGCTTTGTGATGTCATCTCGCCGTGTTTGTTGCTGTACGTGTGCTTTGTGATGTCATCTCGCCGTGTCTGTCGCTGCACGTGTGCTTTGTGATGTCATCTCGCCGTGCCCGTCGCTGTACACGTGCTTTGTGACATCATCGCGCCGTGACCACCATGTTGTCCTGGAGCGCTCGCGCTCCATTGGCTGCGACTCTGTCATTGGTCTTGGCCAGCGCCCCTCGGCAACGCCGCGTCCTGCCGAGCCCACTGGCTTCCCTGATGGCGACGACGGCGGCGGCGGCGGTGGTGGCGGTGGCGGTGGTGGTGGGGATGTCTCTGGGGAGCGGTGGTGCAGCGGTAGCGCTGCTAACGGCTGCACATCGCTTCGAACCCGGCGGCACAGGGGTTCGATTCCCGCTCACGTCCACCAACACCGGTGACGATTATCCGAATCGGTTCTGGGCCTACCCCTAGATCGACTCGGCCTCAAATGAGTACCTTGTGCGATGTGTAGAACATCGCCACCGGGGCGACCGAGACGACCGGGCGTGGTGCTGGCCACCCAATCCCCTCGTGTGCCGTGCCGGCCTTCGTAGGTGTCGCTCGTTAACAGCACTTGACCCCAACAGTCTGCTAAGGCTATACAGGGGAGCTTTGCTTTTTGATTTCTCTAACCATAGGTGCTTGTTCACAGCACTTACCCCAACAGCATGTTAAGGTCTATAATTAAGGTTTTTGGGTTAGATCGCGTAAATATAAATGTGTCGTCAAACACACCGCCACCCGACACGACCAATTTTAAAGGTTTGTCGCGTAAACAAAACGTGCCCAATTCGTTACTAGCACAGCACACCGGTGTGTTGGAGCGTAAACCCACGACGTTTACCGTTCAAGTACGACGTTTCGCCAGTAATAGCAACTAGCATTATCAGGCGGACGGCGAGCCTGTTAAGGCTATATGGGGGGCATCTTTGTCTTTGATGTCCCTAGCCTGTAGCGTGCGCTCCAATCCGTGTGTGCTCTCCCTTGCTGCCCCTCGATGTAAACTCCACGTGGGTGCGTACTTAGTCCCTCCCCTTCCTCTCGGTGACGTCCGCGTTTCTGACGCCACGAGCGACTTGGCCGAGCCACCCGTGCACGGCCCGGCGACGGGAGGGGAAGGGAGCGATGGAGTCGGTGACAAAGGGGGACGGGAGAACGATACGGAGAGGAGAGGGAACCGATGGAACTGGAAATTCGAGGGAAAAGGATGGGGAAGGAACGGAGAAAAGAGAGCACGGGGGTCAGGAGGGATGAGGAGAGGCTGTTCGTGGGCCTCGATGGAGGAAGAGCAGCGTCTAAACTAAAACTGTCGCAAATCACGAAAAGTAAATGAACTCATCTTCTTGGTTCTTTCGGTAAAGTCACGTAGAAGGGAAATAATAAAGTAATAAAAATAAAACATTAGAAAATAATATTATTGTATTATGTTTTATTTTTATTATTTTAAAATAATATTATTTTATAATGTTTAATTTTTATTATTTTATTATTTATTATAAAACGTTATAAAATATTATTCTTTTATTATGTTTTATTTTTATTATTTTAGTATTTCCCTTCTACGTGACTTTACCAAAAGAACCAAGAAGATGAATCCCTGCAGTCACGAAAGCTTTAAATCGAAAAGTAAATGAACTATTAAAACTACGCTACTTTTTTGTTTCACCCAGGTAAGGCCCACCTGAGCTGCTGTAAGGCTGTTTTTCAGAAGCGATTTGGCCACGAATCGTAGCTCAACGAAGTGGCTTTTATCACCCCGTGAAAATTCATCGCAGCCAAATACTCTAAACGCTTGACACAGAATCTAAATGTGGAGGGAAAACCCAAAAAACCTGGAAAAAAAATCTACACAACCACGAGGAGAGAGACATGCATACTCCAAATATACAGCAACAGGCGTCAGGGTTGGGATTGAACCCACGAACCTCCTGCATACCAGGCGAGCTGGTTAACATCTCCTAGCCACAATGATGATGATGAGAGAGAGACACCGCAAACTCCAAATATACAACAGGCGTCAGGGTTGGGATTGAACCCACGAACCTCCTGCATACCAGGCGAGCTGGTTAACATCTCATAGCCACAATGATGATGATGAGAGAGAGACACCGCAAACTCCAAATATACAACAGGCATCAGGGTTGGGATTGAACCCACGACCTCCTGCATACCAGGCGAGGTAGTTAACATCTCCTAGCCACAATGATGATGATGAGAGAGACACTGCAAACTCCAAATATACAACAGGCGTCAGGGTTGGGATTGAACCCACGACCTCCTGCGTACCAGGCGAGCTGGTTAACATCTCCTAGCCACAATGATGATGATGAGAGAGAGACACCGCAAACTTCAAATATACAACAGGCGTCAGGGTTGGGATTGAACCCACGACCTCCTGCATACTAGGCGAGCTGGTTAACATCTCCTAGCCACCGTGGCGCCCACTGTTTTCACAGCTGGCGGTGACTGAGAGTGGGCAAGGGTTTCATGGTGGGGGTGGCCACTCAAGTCACGTGACGTACGGGGGGGAGTCTTCAGCCATACGTATCTATCTTCTTGGTACTTTCGGTAAAGTCACGTAGAAGGGAAATAATAAAATAATAAAAATAAAACATAATAAAATAATTCTCACGACGTTTCGGCCACAACGCAAGCAGCCGTCCTCAGGTGAAGACCAGGTCTGTCGGGAAGACAGCGTCTGAATGAAACACCACCAGGCTTGGCAGCGTATATTTAAGCTGGGTTGGAGGGGGAAGAGCGCCTTGACAAAGGAATTTAGCATATTTATGGGAAATGCAGATATGGGATTAGTCACGACAGATATGGGATTAGTCTACGTGACTTTACCGAAAGAACCAAGAAGATGAATCCCTGCAGTCACGAATGCTTCAAATCGAAATACGTATCTATGTTGAACTTTTTTCGCACCGTATGTAGCCAAACGTGCTAATCGGAGGTGCGATTTTAAGATGAGAGATTTCTAGATGAGAAGAGGAGGGATTCTGATTGGGTTTGGCCACACGGCAGTCCAGGAGGCTTGAGCCGGTTGAGATAGATGCATCTATAGTAGCGGGTTAGCACACGTTTATTAAAGCAATTCACACTAGCGCCAGAACTACAAAACGCGTGTGGGGGAACTATGACTAGATTCCATGTGTCCACGTTTTTTTTATTTTATTTCTTGACGCACACAACAATCGGGACCTCCCCATTGGAACCTCATTTGCCTGTAAAAAATATGATAATTATTTTTTTACCCTTTTATCTGGCAACAAAACTGACACCTTTTTTTACAAGGAGTCATGTTTGCATATGTAGTGGTGGTATTGACGTGCGCCGGCAGTGATGGATCACGGGGCGCGGGGTTGGGCACGCGGTGTGGGCGTGGCATGGACGCGCGCGCCGGTGGTGAGGCGCGCTCACACAAGCTGGGAAAAGAGGATCGTAGCGAGTGCGCAGTGATTGGTCAGATAAGTGAGTACTCTCAGCGACGTCCGGAGGAGGGGTATAAAGGGGGACGCGCGAGAGCACTCGTGGTCAGTGTTAACCAGTTGAAGACCGAAGACGGGGTGGAGGAGGTAGGGGCCCTGTGTGGCTCGGAGCCGAGACTGGGGGGACCGTAGTCCGACGCCCGTGTGGGTCGGGACGGTGGTACCCAGAGCCGAGACGGGCACCCCGGCTGGGTGTGTCCCGGAAGGCTACGGGGCGTAAGAGCCCGTGTCAGTGTAGCTGAGTGGGTGTTGGTCACCCGTGTAGCTGAGTGGGTGTTGGTCACCCGTGTAGCTGAGTGGGTGTTAGTCACCCGTGTAGCTGAGTGGGTGTTGGTCACCCGTGTAGCTAAGTGGGTGTTGGTCACCCGTGTAACGAAGTTGTAGCTGAGTGGGTGTCCGTCACCCGTGTAGCTGAGTGGGTGTTGGTCACCCGTGTAGCTAAGTGGGGGTTGGTCACCCGTGTAACGAAGTTGTAGCTGAGTGGGTGTCCGTCACCCGTGTAGCTAAGTGGGTGTTGGTCACCCGTGTAACGAAGTAGGGTGTTAGTCATCCGTGTAACTACAAGTTGGTGAAAATAAAGAGTGTGCTACCCGTGAAGTCGTCTCCTGCCGAGTTACTACTTTACACATAGACCACAATACCTGCAGTCATAATGCAAGTATTGTGGTCTATGCAAACATGACTCCTCGTAAAAAAAGGTGTCAGTTTTGTTGCCAGATAAAAGGGTAAAAAACCAATTATATTTTTTACTGGCAAATGAGGTTCCAATGGTGTAAATGCTTAGCCCCGAGCTCTCATACGCTTATGGTGCATTGTCTTTGAGTTATGCGCCTTTTGGCGTCATCTGGTCCAACACCATGTGAGACTAGGCTCTAAGGAAAGCTGTCTCGGGTGTGGACCAATCAACTTCAAGGACAGTGCATACATTATCAGAGTTATGTTTTTTGTTTGCATTCCAACTGCAGGTATTGTGGTCTATGCTAACATGACTCCTCGTAAAAAAGGTGTCGGTTTTGTTGCCAGATAAACGTGTAAAAAACCAATGATCAATCGGGACCTAGTTTGTTTTTATTCCCTGCAGCGACCCCGACATGCCGGGAGAGAGTCGCACCCTGGAGGAGGAGGAGGAGGGTCGTGGTTTGGGGGAGCGCCAAGCCGGGGAACAGAGTGCCGTGCGCTCTCACCGCGGAGTGGAGAGTTTGAACCTGGAGGAGGAGTGGCAAGACGAAGACTTCCCCAGGTACAGCAACAACAGAAAGCCACACGAGCGCAGGGGAATCTCGCAGTCGCATCTGTGAAACCGCCAGTCACGGCCGGAGCAGTCCGGAACCCTGTCCTCTGGGGGGAGGGAGACGGTGGCTTGTCGTGCCCGTCTAGCCGCCACCGCCGCCTGTACCTCGCGATGTCAACCTGCTCGTGGGATTGTAATTATATTATAATAATTATCATCATAATTTTGACTTGGGGCACGCCGAGCGGTGTTCGCTCATCGCCCTCTTGGAGAGAGGACGACTCTGAGAGAGAGAGAGAGGACGACTCTGAGAGAGAGAGAGGACGACTCGGAGAGCGAGAGAGAGGACGACTCGGAGAGCGAGAGAGAGGACGACTCGGAGAGCGAGAGAGAGGACGACTCGGAGAGCGAGAGAGAGGACGACTCGGAGAGCGAGAGAGAGGACGACTCGGAGAGCGAGAGAGAGGACGACTCGGAGAGCGAGAGAGAGGACGACTCGGAGAGCGAGAGAGAGGACGACTCGGAGAGCGAGAGAGAGGACGACTCGGAGAGCGAGAGAGAGGACGACTTGGAGAGCGAGAGAGAGGACGACTCGGAGAGCGAGAGAGAGGACGACTCGGAGAGCGAGAGAGAGGACGACTCGGAGAGCGAGAGAGAGGACGACTCGGAGAGCGAGAGAGAGGACGACTCGGAGAGCGAGAGAGAGGACGACTCGGAGAGCGAGAGAGAGGACGACTCGGAGAGCGAGAGAGAGGACGACTCGGAGAGCGAGAGAGAGGACGACTCGGAGAGCGAGAGAGAGGATGACTCGGAGAGCGAGAGAGAGGACGACTCGGAGAGCGAGAGAGAGGACGACTCGGAGAGCGAGAGAGAGGACGACTCGGAGAGCGAGAGAGAGGACGACTCGGAGAGCGAGAGAGAGGACGACTCGGAGAGCGAGAGAGAGGACGACTCGGAGAGAGAGAGAGGACGACTCGGAGAGAGAGAGAGAGGACGACTCGGAGAGAGAGAGAGAGGACGACTCGGAGAGAGAGAGAGAGGACGACTCGGAGAGAGAGAGAGGACGACTCGGAGAGAGAGAGGACGACTCGGAGAGAGAGAGAGAGGACGACTCGGAGAGAGAGAGAGAGGACGACTCGGAGAGAGAGAGAGGACGACTCGGAGAGAGAGAGAGGACGACTCCGAGGTGCCAGGAATAGGAACCGCAGACGAGGAGCGGGAAGGCAGGCGCGCTGCGAGCCGCAGCGAACAATTGCCCAAGCTCTGTTGTTCTTCATATCTCAAGGTGGTTATTGTCCAATCGACGAGTGTTTATACCACGTGGGAGGAGGAAACCGGCGCACCCGGGAAACAAAATAAACCCGCACGCGCGAAGGAGAAACGCTCTATCCCTCATGATGGAACCGGCCGTGTACCGCCTTCTCCTGGTGAGCCAGCGGTACAGCTCCTCCTAGACGCTCACGGGACTAAGGGGGAGGGACTTTCACAGCAACATCTTTGCGGTGATCCACCAACACCTCGCCGCTGCCTCCACAGCGCTGCTGGATTACAGGCAGCCACGTGCAGAGCATAGCCACTGCCGCCAACACCCCAACGCAGGGACACATAATATAGGATTATTATTATTGTGGATAGACGTTCCTTGGGTACTCTAGTGGTAGTGCCTTACGCCAATAATCCCCTACCCCCGGGAAATATCGAAGTTGAGCCCAGGGGCCCCTTTCTCTCAGAGTGGAGTTTGTGTGTTCTCTCTCTCAGAGTGGAGTTTGTGTGTTCTCTCTCTCAGAGTGGAGTTTGTGTGTTCTCTCTCTCAGAGTGGTGTTTGTGTGTTCTCTCTCTCAGAGTGGAGTTTGTGTGTTCTCTCTCTCAGAGTGGAGTTTGTGTGTTCTCTCTCTCTGAGTGGAGTTTGTGTGTTCTCTCTCTCTGAGTGGAGTTTGTGTGTTCTCTCTCTCAGAGTGGAGTTTGTGTGTTCTCTCTCTCAGAGTGGAGTTTGTGTGTTCTCTCTCTCTCAGAGTGGAGTTTGTGTGTTCTCTCTCTCAGAGTGGTGTTTGTGTGTTCTCTCTCTCAGAGTGGAGTTTGTGTGTTCTCTCTCTCAGAGTGGAGTTTGTGTGTTCTCTCTCTCTGAGTGGAGTTTGTGTGTTCTCTCTCTCTGAGTGGAGTTTGTGTGTTCTCTCTCTCTGAGTGGAGTTTGTGTGTTCTCTTTCTCTGAGTGGCGTTTGTGTGTTCTCTCTCTCAGAGTGGAGTTTGTGTGTTCTCTCTCTCAGAGTGGAGTTTGTGTGTTCTCTCTCTCAGAGTGGAGTTTGTGTGTTCTCTCTCTCTGAGTGGAGTTTGTGTGTTCTCTCTCTCAGAGTGGAGTTTGTGTGTTCTCTCTCTCAGAGTGGAGTTTGTGTGTTCTCTCTCTCAGAGTGGAGTTTGTGTGTTCTCTCTCTCAGAGTGGAGTTTGTGTGTTCTCTCTCTCTCTGAGTGGAGTTTGTGTGTTCTCTCTCTCTCTGAGTGGAGTTTGTGTGTTCTCTCTCTCAGAGTGGAGTTTGTGTGTTCTCTCTCTCAGAGTGGAGTTTGTGTGTTCTCTCTCTCAGAGTGGAGTTTGTGTGTTCTCTCTCTCAGAGTGGAGTTTGTGTGTTCTCTCTCTCAGAGTGGAGTTTGTGTGTTCTCTCTCTCAGAGTGGAGTTTGTGTGTTCTCTCTCTCAGAGTGGAGTTTGTGTGTTCTCTCTCTCTCTGAGTGGAGTTTGTGTGTTCTCTCTCTCAGAGTGGAGTTTGTGTGTTCTCTCTCTCAGAGTGGAGTTTGTGTGTTCTCTCTCTCAGAGTGGAGTTTGTGTGTTCTCTCTCTCTCTGAGTGGAGTTTGTGTGTTCTCTCTCTCTCTGAGTGGAGTTTGTGTGTTCTCTCTCTCAGAGTGGAGTTTGTGTGTTCTCTCTCTCAGAGTGGAGTTTGTGTGTTCTCTCTCTCTGAGTGGAGTTTGTGTGTTCTCTCTCTCTCTGAGTGGAGTTTGTGTGTTCTCTCTCTCTCTGAGTGGAGTTTGTGTGTTCTCTCTCTCAGAGTGGAGTTTGTGTGTTCTCTCTCTCAGAGTGGAGTTTGTGTGTTCTCTCTCTCTGAGTGGAGTTTGTGTGTTCTCTCTCTCTGAGTGGAGTTTGTGTGTTCTCTCTCTCTGAGTGGAGTTTGTGTGTTCTCTCTCTCAGAGTGGAGTTTGTGTGTTCTCTCTCTCTGAGTGGAGTTTGTGTGTTCTCTCTCTCTGAGTGGAGTTTGTGTGTTCTCTCTCTCTCCCCCCCCTGTTTCTGTGTGGGTTTCCTTCTCCCGCTTCTCTTGTTCCACCCCCCTCCCCCCAATAGCTAAACCCACACACCCAGTGGAACTGCTACTGGCCACAGCATCCGCAATGGTGAATAGATGACCTGAAATTAACTCCAACGGAGAATCGCAGAGCAGCATCGGCAGCCCCCGCCCTCTGCCCCCACCGCACCAACTTGCGATAAAAACAAACATGGCAGGACCTCTTCTGCAGTAGGGGTAGTGATTGCTGCTGTGTGGTCTAGCCTAGGGGCACCCCCAGTGGCAGCTGTCCCTGTGTGTCTGTCTGCTGCCAGTAGTGGTATTGATTATCGCTGTGTGGTCTAGCCTAGGGGCACCCCCAGTGGCAGCTGTCCCTGTGTGTCTGTCTGCTGCCAGTAGTGGTATTGATTATTGCTGTGTGGTCCAGCCTAGGAGCACCCCCAGTGGCAGCGCTCTCTGTGCGTTCATCAGAATCTTTGAGACCGCAGGAGGTGGAATCCGATGGGCTATGAAGCTCTTTTTGTCGGCAAGTTACACAACAACAAATGACAAAAACAAAAACAACGATAGGAGTGCCAACGAGAGCTAAAGGCAAACAAGTCACGACATACAAATATGTAAAGGAGAGCCGACACAAGATTGCAGGAGTTTCGTCTTTTAATCCTTGTCTCCCATCCACACCTGTCCCCAGCCGTCCCAATCTCGTTCCCGCCAAAGGCCCCTTCTTCCCGCCCCCATTCTCCCCTTATATCTCCTCGATCACCCCTCCCACTAACCCTCCTGTTGGTGGGAATTCTTCCCCTGACACCCCTACAAATACAAAAATGAAATTGCATATGTCAGATGTATGAAGCTTGGGCAAGGCAGGTAACAACAAAAACAACAGTCCACGACCACACCAAGACGACAACCACACAACAGTAGTGGTCCCACGATATACCTGGCGCATTAACGTTGAACTGTCGATAAGTACACGGGCAGGGGGTGAGGATCAAAGTTACGAATCGCATCGGCAAATGTGGCTGCTGCTGCTGCTGCTCTATCCGACGCCAATGGTTGTAGCCTGGAGACTTCCACGCGTCCCAGCAGACGGGCGGTGCGAGAGTTCGCCTGTGAACGAACGCACCCCACGGTGGCTGGGCGGGTCTCGCCCCGTAGGGTTCGCAATGGCCGTGTCACCACCTGTGGATTACAGCCCTGGGTCTGGGTGTATCTCTGCGTCTCTCTCTGTCTCAGCGGGGCTCATGATGGCCGTGCCAGGTTTCACAATGGCCGTGTAACCACTGGCATGTCAGCCCTAGGTCTGGGTGTATCTCTGTGTCTCTCTGTTTCTGTCTCAGCGGGGCTCGTGATGGCCGTGCCAGGTTTCACAATGGCCGTGTAACCACTTGCGTATCACAGCCCTAGGTCTGGGTGTATCTCTGCGTCTCTCTCTGTCTGTCTCGGCTTGTGATGGGCGTGCCAGGTTTCACAATGGCCGTGTAACCACTGGCGTGTCAGCCCTGGGTCTGGGTGTATCTCTGTGTCTTTCTCTGTCTCTGTCTCGGCTTGTGATGGGCGTGCCAGGTTTCACAATGGCCGTGTAACCACTTGCGTGTCAGAGCCCTGGGTCTGGGTGTCTCCATCTCTCCGTCTCGCCGCTTGAGACACCGGCGCGCAGACACAGCGGACGCTCCGAGCCTGTCGCTCGCCCCCCCCAACCACGGGGGTTCACGATGGCGAGCGATCTGGTCGCACTCAGAGCGGCGGTGGTTGCAAGCAAGTTGCTACGTTTTTCTAAACGCGCGGCTCTCGGTAACCGAGGTTTGTCACGAGCGCGCGGCATTCGTACGTCATAAGACGTTTCCATCTTGCGTCGCCTCCGGATGAGACGCTTCGTTGAGCTCGCGTTTGTGCAGGTCGCCTTTTGATACAGAGCTATATAGCTCGACGGGCTTCACCCTGGTAAAATAAAAAAAATGTTTAGTTTCTTTTCAGGTGATGTACTTACTTGATGCAGCTATCGTGCTGTGACGGTTCCACCTGAAGACGGAAGCTTGTGTTGCCTCCGAAACGTCGTGATTTTTATTTTATTTTTATTTTACTTTTATTAATTTAAAATTTTTACCTACGTGACTTTACCGAAAAAAACCTAAGAATATGAATACTTGCAGTCACGAAAGCTTCAAATCTAGAATTAGATGTACTTACCGTTTCTACACTTTGCACTCCTATCGTTTTTGTTGTATTGTTTTTTGTTGGAACTTGTGAAAAAGAGCATCGTAGGTCATCGGATTTTCCCACGGATAAATATTCCGATTCTGGTGAATGCGCAGGGACAGCTGCCGCTGGGGGTGCCCCTAGGCTAGACCATAGAGCAACGTCGCTCCCAACTGTGAAACTACAGCAGCCCGTGCCGGCCTTCGGTGCAGGTGCTACTCTCTAACAGCACTTGCCCCGCCAGGCTGAAGAAGGCTACATGAGGGACCTTTGTCTGTGTGCCGCGTGCAGCCCCATCGGCCTGCTGGGCCCGGAGCCACACGGCGCCCTCGAGGTCCAGGAGGAGGGGAGACCCGGTACGGAGCCAGTGGAGCGTGCGTGTGCAGTGTGCGTGCGGAGGGTGCGTGTGGAGTGTGCGTGCGAAGTGTGTGTGTGGAGGGTGCGTGTAGAGCGTGCGGAGCGTGCGTGCGGAGCGTGCGTGCGGAGCGTGCGTGCGGAGCGTGCGTGCGGTGCGTGTGGAGCGTGCGTGCGGTGCGTGTGTAGTGCACTCACGGCCACAATCCATGACCATGGAGACGGCCGTCCGTGCCGCTCAGTCGATCGTTGTGATGCTGATGATGATGATGGTGCTGAGGATGATAATGATGGTGCTGATGATGATGATGGTGCTGAGGATGATGATAATACTGGTGCTGATATCGATGATGCTGCGGTGTGACGACTGCGTGCGCCCAGCCGTGCCGTCGTCGCTGCCGCTCTCCTCCGCTCCGCGTCCGTCCAGACGGAAGCTGACGGCACCGGACATCAGCCTCTCGCTGGACCGCGCCGACGACGACGAGGACGATGATGACGACGAGGACGACGACCTGGAGGGCGACACCCCGGACATCGACGTGGACGCGCTGGAGACGCCGGACGACGCCGAGTCGCTCGACGCCACGGGACCCACGGGGGAGCTCGAGTGGGAGGGTGAGCGGGGGAGGGGCGGGGCACTCTGTCCAAGTCACACCCCCACCCCTCTCATACCCCCCCCCACACCTTCTCGCATCCTCCACCCCCCCCCCCCCATACCCCCCCCCCCATATGCCAACCCCCCAACCCTCTCATCTCCCTTCTTCATCCATGAGAGTATTGAAGGCCCTATTCCGTGTCCCCGCCCACGTGTCCCCACCCGCGTGTGTCCCCAGAAAGATGCCCTGGTGGTCGCCATCTTTAAGAAGGGAGACCGCACAGACTGTAACAACTCCTCAGTGGGCCAGGAAAGGTCCTGGCAAGGATTATTCAACATTGCCTTGCTAGGCACGCTGAGGAGAGGCTTGCGGAGCCCCAATGCAGTTTCAGGAAAGAGCGGTCCTGCACAGATGACATTTTATGTCCGTTTGCGACAGCAGAGGTGTAGGGAATTCCAACAAGACCTACATCTCTGCTTTAATGACCTGGTCAAGGCGTATGATACCATCACTAGGCCTGGGCTCTGGTTTGTACTTCGTGCTTTCGGAGTCCCTGACCTGCTGCTCACAATCATTAAGGACCTTCATGATGGTGAGCGGGCCCGGGTAAAACTACGTGGCTGGGAGTCGGAGCCATTCCCTGTTCACCTTGGGGTGCGACAGGGATGTCCTCTGGCTGTAACATTATTTAACATCTATTTCGACCACGTAGTTCGTGAAGCCTTCAGTAGCTGTACCGGAGGAATTTCCATCTGGTACAGATACACTGGGAGGCTGATCGATGCCCGGGTGCTGTCAAGGGATGGCTCCCGATTGCTCAACCATATTATGTATGCCGATGATCTGGTAATTGCTGCTCACTCAGAGGAGGAGTTGGAGACGCTGCTGCTGAAACTGGAGTGTGCTACTAAGAGGTGGGGCCTTACCATCAGCCCCACCAAAACTAAGCACCTGCCTGGGTATTTTGTACCATCGGACACTCCACCCCCACAACTCCCAATCGGTGATGAGGCAGTTGTGGAGAGAATGGAAAGTTTCCCATACCTGGGCAGTGTTCTCATGACCGGCTCCGGTTTGACAGCAGAGGTCTCACTCCGAATCAGTCGAGCGGCAATATCTTTTCATCGGTTGCGTAATGCTGTGTGGAAGCTACCTGGTCTGTCGCTCCGCATGAAGCTTCAGGTCTTCTCGGCCACGGTGATTCCCTCCCTTCTCTACGCTTGTGAAACGTGAACCCCCCTAATGGAGCATCTTCGCCGGTTCGAAACATTTAGGCTGGCCTGCCTACGATCTATCCTGGGTTAACCATGCTGGATTGTGTGAGGAGCTCACAAATCCTTCAAAGATCTGGGCAAAGTCCAATCGGTGAGCTCCTCCGGCAGGCAAAGCTGTGTTGGCTGGGTCATGTAGCCCGCATGCCCAATCACCGCATGCCCAAACAGCTTTTGTTCGGCCGTATTGAGGGGGCTAAACGGGCGCGACACAGGCTAGAGAAGAGATAGAGTGATGTGGTATACAGGAGGACATGGAGCTGCGTGGACTTGACGATGACTGGTACCAGCGGTGTCAAGATCGGCCTCTGTGGAGGAGGCTCGTGAAGGATGCTACTGGGCAGTTGGAGGCAGTCGCCCTCCAACAACAACGGAGGGCAGAGGAGCGACGCTCACAACAACGAGCGGAGCGCCGGGTGGCTAAAGCACAGCAAGTTGGCACAGTAGTTGGCACAGGTGGTGCATCGGCCACTCATCTCAGTCATCTCGGTCATCTCAGTCAGTCGACCCGTGGCACCTGCTGGGTCTGCCCCGTGACCTCCTGCCAGCGGGCGTTCGACACTTCACGTGGCCTCAAGGTGCACATGGCCCTGGCACAAGCGTCGTGGTGACGTCACCGCCACTTAGTGGCGAATGACGGTTGTTGTTGTTGTTGTGCCCCCCGCCCGCGCGTCTCCCCGCTAGACGACACGCCGCTGCGGAGGGCGCCGCTGCCGGAGCTGAGCGGGGCGGAGGAGCGGGAGGACGCGCTGGGCTGGCGCCGCGTGCTGCTGGGCGAGACGGAGCACCGCGTGGACCTGCGCGCCGTCGAGCCGTACAAGCGCGTCCTGTCACACGGGGGTGCGGGTGGCACGGCGGCGGAGCACGTGTCACATCACGTGTCACACTCACACAGCACGTGTCACAGCACGTGTCACAGCACGTGTCACAACACTCGCGCAGGATGCATCACAATACTCACACAGCACTGTGTGTGTGATGCGCGTGTGTGTGTGTGTATGATGCGCGTGTGTGTGTGTGATGCGTGTGTGTGTGTGTGTGATGCACGTGTGTGCTCCAGGCTACTACGGCGATGGGCTGAATGCGATCATCGTGTTCGCTGCGTGCTACCTGCCAGACGGGAAGGACCCGGAGTACGCTTACATCATGGAGAACCTCTTCCTGTGAGCACGTGGCACGAGCACACGTGTCTCTGTATCTCTGTGTGTCTCTGTGTGTCTCTGTGTGTCTCTGTGTGTCTCTTTGTCTCTGTGTGTGTCTCATCTGCTGGACTACGTAGTGACGGACCAGCGGATGCGAGCCCATGTCCTTGACACCAGAACCTACCGTGGAGCTGATCTGCCCTCTGACCATAGACTTGTCATCTGTAAGATGCGCCTGCCATTCTTCCACTCCGGTGGTGGGTGTACACCCAGGACCCCATTCCAACCTAAGGTGGCCTGGTCTCAGCTAGCTGATGGAAGTTGCAAGCGAGAATTTCATCATCGCTTGCAGCTGGGGTTGGCATCGTCTCCCACTCCTCCTGGTGTGGAGGGTAAATGGGCGAGGTTTAGGACTGTGGCTCATGCAGCTGCAATGGCTGCTTTGGGTACGCAGTCCAGACCTCCCCAGAGACCCTGGCTGACAGATGAGGTGTTCTGGCTGGTTGAGAGAAAGCGACAGGCCCACTCTCATCGGCTACAGCATCCCACGTCAGAGAATGAGGAGGCTTACCGTAGCCTTCGCTCGGAGGTTCGGAGAGCAGTGAGGTGCTGCAAGGATGGGTGGTGGTCGCGGGTTGCTGAGGATATGGAGTCTACCTCTGTGGCCCGCGATCGCAAATCCCTATTTAGCTCCATCAAAAAAGTAACCTGCAGCGCCACACCTATTACCATCATTAGGGGAAAAAACGGTGGTCCAATCTTCAACCCCCAGGAACAGGTTTGCAGATTTGCTGAGCATTTCTGTGAGGTCCTGGGGGTGGGGAAATCCCTCGGCCAGGAAAGCATCGTGGCACAAAGTGGGGATAACCCTGCTGAGGCTGCAGTGCCTCAAATATTTGTAGAAGTTACCCTCTGTGAGTGGCTGCCTGAGGTGCCATCTGTTGAGGAAGTACTGAAGGCAATCCAGAGCCTGAGACCAGGAAAGGCACCGGGCAGAGATGATCTCCCAAGAGAAATGCTGTGGGAGGGTGGCGTTTGTGCACAGACTGCCCTACATGACATCATAACAACAGTCTGGACCATTGGACGGGTTCCGCAGGACTGGAAGGATGCCCTGGTGGTCCCCCTCTTTAAGAAGGGGGACCGCACAGACTGTAACAACTACAGGGGCATCTCTCTCCTCAGTGTGCCGGGTAAGGTCCTGGCAAGGATGATTCAACATCGCCTTGCCAGGCACGCTGAGGAGAGGCTTGCAGAGGCCCAATGCGGTTTCAGGAAAGGGCGGTCCTGCATGGATGCCATATTTTCTGTCCGTCTGCTACAGCAGAGATGTAGGGAATTCAAACAAGACCTACATCTCTGCTTTATTGACCTGGTCAAGGCCTATGATACCATCAATAGGCCTGGGCTTTGGGTTCTTGATGCTTTCGGAGTCCCTGAACCTCCGCTCACGATCATTAAGGACCTTCATGATGGTTAGCGGGTCCGGGTAAAACTACGTGGCCGGGAGTCAGAGCCATTCTCTGTACACCTTGGGGTGCGACAGGGATGTCCTCTGGCTCCCAAATTATTTAACATCTATTTTGACCACGTAGTTCGTGAAGCCTTCAATAGCTGTACCGGGGGAATTTCCATTTCGTACAGATATAATGGGAGGCTGATCGATGCCCAGTTGGAGATGCTGCTGCTGAAACTGGAGCGTGGGGGTGGAGTGTGGGGAGGGGGCGGGGGGGGCGGTGAGGGTGGGGGGGGCCGTTGTCTTCATCGTCGCTGCGCGTTCACGGGAACGAGGCAACTCGAGTTGGAATCCTCCCGCTCCGACATCGACACCGGCATCAAGCGTGGCCGGGGCGGGGGGGGGTGGCAGCGGTTCTGGCTACGGCCCCCGTGCGCCGGTGCCGGCCTTCACTCGTGGGCGGTGCGAAGTCCGCGGGGGGGGGGGGGTGAAGGTCGTGGTGGGGGGGGGGGGGGGGTGAAGGTCGTGGTGGGGGGGGTGAAGGTCGTGGTGGTCGCTGCGTGGTGGGGCCGTGTCTGTGCAGGTACATGGTGAGCACGCTGGACCGCCTGGTGGCCGAGGACTACATGATCGTCTACCTCAACGGCGCCACGCCACGGCGGCGCACGCCGGGCTTGGGCTGGCTCAAGCGCTGCTACACCATGATTGACCGCAGGTGCGCTGGGGGCGGTGCGGGCAGCACGGGTAGCGTGGGCAGCGTGGGCAGCGTGGGCAGCGTGGGCAGCGTGGGTAACGTGGGCAACGTGGGCAACGTGGGCAACGTGGGCAACGTGGGCAACGTGGGTAACGTGGGTAACGTGGGTAACGTGGGCAGCGTGGGTAACGTGGGTAACGTGGGTAACGTGGGCAACGTGGGTAACGTGGGCAGCGTGGGTAGCGTGGGTAACGTGGGCAACGTGGGCAACGTGGGTAACGTGGGCAACGTGGGTAACGTGGGTAACGTGGGCAACGTGGGCAACGTGGGTAACGTGGGCAACGTGGGTAACGTGGGTAACGTGGGTAACGTGGGCAACGTGGGTAACGTGGGCAGTGTGGGCAGCGCAGGCAGTAGCAGCCGTGTTCTATCCACTGCTGCGCGAACGCCGGCCCACCCCGAGCCACGTGCCGCACTTCACCGGCGTTGACCGGGGCCGGCCCCGCGGGGTTCCAACCGCGGGCGGCAGTGGCGGCGGCGGCGGCGGCGAGCGGTGAACGAGGGAGGCGCTCCCCGCTCGGCCGTGGATGGTCGGAGATGACGGCGATGGTGGGAGGCCACGGGAGGCCACGGGAGACGACGACATCGACGACGATGAGGATGCGAGGAGGGATGCGTGGGGTGCTGCTCCCCCTGACACCGCCCCCCCCCCCATCCTGTGCCACCACCCCAGGCTGCGGAAGAACCTCAAGGCGCTGGTCATCGTCCACCCGTCGTTCTTTGTGAGGACCCTGCTGGCGTTGACGAGGCCCTTTATCAGGTGAGGTCACGGTCGAGGTCACGGTCTAGGTCACGGTCGAGGTCACGGTCGAGGTCACGGTCGAGGTCACGGTCGAGGTCACGGTCGAGGTCGGCACGCGGCCGTTTGCCGGCACTTGCCCTCCAGCAGTCGGTGTGGGCTCCACGGGAGAGGGACCTTTGGCTTTGTGTGCGCGCAGCTCCAAGTTCAGCCGCAAGGTCCGCTACGTGCACTCGCTGGCGGAGCTCGCGGAGGTCATCCCCATGGAGCACGTCTCCATCCCGGACTGCATCCAGCAGTGAGGCGCTCGCACGCGCACGGGCACGCACACGGGCAGACACACGGACACGCACAGACACTGGGACACGCACAGACACTGGGACACGCACACGGGCACGCACACGGGCACGGGCATGGGCACGGACACGGACACACGGACAGACGCGGATGGACACGTACACACGGACAGACGCGGACGGACAGACACCCACGCACGCACGGGGACACACACGGACACACGGACAGACACCCATGCACGCACAGACACTGGGACACGCACAGGCACTGGGACACGCACACGGGCACGGGCACAGACACTGGGACACGCACAGACACTGGGACACGCACACACGCACGCACACGGACACGCACAGACACTGGGACACGCACAGACACTGGGACACGCACACACGCACGCACACGGACACGCACAGACACACGGACACGCACAGACACTAGGACACGCACACACGCACGCACACGGACACGCACAGACACTGGGACACGCACAGACACGGACACATGGACACATGGACACGCACGCAGGGACAGGCACACACGCACAGACACACGGACACGCACAGACACTGGGACACGCACAGACACGGACACGCACAGACACGGACACGGACACACGGACACGGACACACACGGACACGTACACACGGACAGACACCCACGCACGCACACACGGGGACGCGCACGGACACGCACGGGCACAGACACGGACACAGACACGGACACACGGACAGACACACGGACACGCACGCAGGGATAGACACGCACGCACTGGCACGCACTGGCACGGACTGGCATGTACACGCACGGACACGTACACACATACACGCACGTGGACTGCGATCCACGTGTCGGTCTTCTCTGCTCTGACCTCCTGCACGATTTCGCAAACGGTTTACCCCCCGACTCGATGGACCCCTGTTCTCTCTTTCTCTTCATCTCGCTCGGTCTGTCTCTCCCTGCTTATTGTTGTTACTATGGCTCTCTCTCTTTGTACCTCTCTCCCTTCACCGCCTGCGTCTCCTCCTCGAACCTCCTCCTCCTTCCCCCTTCTCCCTGTTTCTCCCCTCCTCCTACTCTCCCCTTCCTCCCTCCCCCTCTCTCCTCCCTTCTCCTGTCTCTCCTCCCTCCCTCCTCCCCATCCCTCCCCTTCCTCCTCCCTCTCTTTTCCTCCCTCTCTTTTCCTCCCTCCCCTTTCTCCCTCCTCCTCCCTCCCCCTCCCCTTTCTCCCTCTCTCCCTCCCCCTCCCCCTCTCTCCTCCCTCCCCTCCACCTCCTCCGTGCTCTCAGAGTGGACGAGGAGCTGCTGCTCGCTGCGGCCGAGGCTCGGTAGGTCGTCGCTTCGCGAGCCGGTGGTGGCGGCGGCGGCGGCGGCGGCGGCGGCGGCCGTGGCCCCACGCCGAGTCGCGTGCCGTGTCGTGCGCCCCTCCTCCGCCCGACGTGACCCCCAATTCGCAACAGCGAATTGGGTCACATCGCGTTATTTATAAATGTGTCGTAACCCTCCACCACCCGACACGGCCAAACAGTCAAAAATGTGTCACGTTTTTGAAAGGACAAAATAATTAACTTCTTTAGCCCACCGGTGTGTTTTAGAGAGAATCAACAGCATTTTAACATTTGAGTAGTCCGACGTTTCGCTGGTGATTGAAAAGCGTGACACATTTTTTACTGTTTGGCCGTGTCGGCTGGTGGAGGGTTACGACACATTTATAAATAACGCGATCTGACCCAAAAACCTATATTCTGAATAATATTGGTCGCGAAAGCCTGCTACGTGTTTAAACTGGGCTATTATTCCCCACGAACTTTGCTTCTGTGACCAGGCCAGTGATATTTTGCAATGCGCCGATTGTCAATGAGAAAACTCGGTGTGCATTTGTGTCATTGCTTCACGTAAAGTCCTCGTCACAAAAGCAAAGTTTGTGGGGGAATAATAATAGCCCATTTTCTATACTTTTGAGGCTTAAGCAATTAGAAAATAACACTTGACATCCAGGAACACATCGTGTTGCATCATGTACTAATATAATGTAGGCATTGTATTTGAAACTGATTGGCCTACACCAGAGATGGCAGCCTTCTCCACGGCTTCGTCTCAACACCAGTGTCACACCAGAGAACGCCAGAGGGCAGAGGTCGCAAACGGGTTTTGATTCCTTACCTGTACCCGTACCCGGCCGCACCAGGGTCGCAAACGGCTACCCGTACCCATACCCGACAGGGTACGGGTAGCCGGGTATCGGGTAGGGTACGGGTATCGGGTACCCGGTTGCGACCTCTGGCAGAGGGCGAACGGTACAAGGAGAATGCCACACGTTTCACTTTTCAGTTTTCATTTTCAGTTTCATTAATCAGGTACTGGCTTTACTAACCAGGCTTTGCCCGGGACTTGGATTCACCACGCCCGGCCGCCTTTGTCTCCCCAGTGGCGATGTTCACACACCACACCAGTTACTCGTTTGAGGCTGAGTTGACCTAAAGGAGGCCCAGGACCGGTTAAAATAATCGTCACCGGTGGTGGCCGTGAGCGGGAATCGAACTCGGGTCGCTGGGTTCGTAGCGCGTAGCGCTAACCGCTACACTACAATGCGTGACGCTTCCACATGCGCGGGTCACATGACAGATGTGACGTCACAGCTCACTTGCCGTACAAAAAAATACATGCATTATTGAGCCCCCCCCCCACCCCAAAAAATATTTATTTTTATAATTTGTGCATGGTGTACAGTCTGGAAAGTACCCACATGGCAAATTTCCAGTTTGTTGCATGTCGGGAAGTACGCTAAACATTTTGAACAGACACACAGATTCACAACTTTGCCTTTTAAATATATGGAGATAACCCTGTGAGGCATGCGGCTCTTGACTCGGGTGCAACCGCAACAAAACAAAAACGTGAACAAGAAACACCTTAACAGAAACATCCAGGAAAAAAACAGCAAAGGCGCATTTATAGTTGGGTGTGTCCAGTTTTATATATAGATGTTGAACCTCTTTTGCACCATACCAAGCCAGCCACGCCAATCGGAGGTGCCGGTCACCCACCCTCCTGGCTACCTTGATACGTGCTCGCTCACAGCACTTGTCCCAAAAGTCTGTACAGGCTACATGGGGGACCTTTGTCTTTGCGTGCGTGTGTGTCTGTGTGTCTGTCTGTCTGCTCCAGGGAGGAATTGGACATGCAAAGAAGACAGCACGAATCTGACAACACCCCGTGGTACACATAGACACACGCACATGGACACACATGCACATGAACACACGCACATGGACAAAGACATACACACACACATTCAAACAACAACCGCCAACACACGCACATGAACAAAGACACACACACATTCAAACAAACACAACAACAACCGCCAACACACGCACATGAACAAAGACATACACACACACACTCAAACAAACACAACAACAACCGCCATTCGCCACTAAGTGGCAGTGACGTCACCGCGGCGCTTGTGCCAGGCTATGTGCACGCACATGCACACAGACACGCATACATAAACGCACACACACACATACCAACACGCTAAGACAAAGATCCCACGTATAACATTAACAGACTGTTGGGGCAAGTGCTGTTAGCGAGCAGCACCTATGAAGGCCAGAACTGCACACGAGGGGATGGGTGGCCAGCACCACGCCCGGCCGCCTTTGTCTCCCCAGTGGCGATGTTTACACACCGCACACCAGGTACTCGTTTGAGGCTGAGTTGACCTAGGGGAGGCCCAGGACCGGTTCACATAATCGTCACTGGTGCTGGTGCACGTTAACACACACATAGATACAAATAAAGACACGTAAACAGACACAGACACACACACACACGCACAGAGACACACACACACACACAGAGACACACAGAGACACAGAGACACACACACACACACAGACACACACACACACTGAGACACAGACGTAAACACACACACAGATACAAATAAAGACACGTACACTGACACACACAGAAACACTGACACACATAGAGACAATGACACACACACACACGCACAGAGACACACACACGCACAGAGACACACACACAGACACACAGAGACACAGAGACACACAGACACACAGACACACAGAGACACACACACAGAGACACAGAAACACACACACAGACACACAGAGACACACTCACAGAGACACACTGACACACACACTGACACACATTCCATCGAGAGAGGAATACTCAAGCCACACGGCACAGGAAGAGAGCTCCCCACGGGGTGACTCACTCGGCTCGGGGCGACTCTCTCCGCGTGGCGAGTACCCGCGGGGTGGATCGCGTCCGAGCCCTCTCCACCTTCCACCGGACAGCAGCGGAGGTCTCAAGCGGGAGCCGAGCCGCTGCTGGGCTCCGTAAGACAATCACGTGGGGGGGGTCAGGGGGTCAGGGGTCAGGGGGTCGCACCCTCGGCAATAATCGCACGGCGAGTGTGCGCGTGTGTGCGTGTGCGCGTGTGTGCGTGTGTCAGCAGGTTTACTACTGTGGTTACCACGCTGTCTGTGGGGTTGGGGGGGAGGGGAAGATTTTCGGGGGGGAGGGGGTGGGGGCGGCTTTGGGTAGGGAGATCCGCAGGGTTCGGGGCGTCCGTGCGTTTGACCAAAACCATGACCCCTCTCCCCCCCCACTGAACCCAGTCGGGGGGGTTAAAGCACAAAGGTCAGAAGGTCAACGCTGCGGCGGGGGTGGTGGCGGCGGGGAGGGCAGCACTCCCCCTCCTAATTACAGCCCCTCGCCCGGCGGCTAGCGATGGAAATTCCACATTCCCGCGGCGGAGGCGGCCAAGTCTCGCCGCGTGGGGTTCGTTTCCGGTCATTGGCAAGTGGCGCCAGTTGGACTCCCTTGAAACCCTCGCAACGAAAGTGCACCGGGGGGGGGGGGGGGGGGGGGTGATGGCGGCGCGACTACCCTCGTCACCCCGGGGGGGTTTGCGGCCCGCGAACTCGCCGGCCGTGAGCCTGGACGATGGCCCTTGGGCAGCGAAAGGGGGGGGGGCGGGGGGCTCCCGTCGTCGGCGGTTTCGGCAGCGCGGTCGCAGCCACATATCGTTGTGCCGCGTCACGGGGAACTTGGAGCGAACCGCGCTGAGCAGCGTGGCGAAGTTCTGCTCCAGGAACCCGCCGGCGGCGGCACGGGCTGGGCAGAGGCCGCTCATCCAGCAGTGGATTGGCAAACGGGGCCGGTGACCAACGGTGGATATTGAACCCCCCCCCCCCGGCCCCTTTGTGGTCGTTTTGGGAACTCGCGGCCGAGGATTTTCACCGGGGGAGTGGGGAGGGAGTGAGTGAGAGGTCTGCATCGTGATTGGGGAGAGGGGCGGGAGACGATTGCACTCTGCACAGACAAGAGTCACTGACCATCATCATCACCTTCATCATCCCTATAGCACCTTGACATTCATTTTAGCCTGCCGGTGGTGAGCGGCGGTGGCCACTCTGCACGTGGCCTCGGGTAGTCCAGCACTTGTGGAGACATCGGCGAAATGTGTCGGTGGATCACCCCACCCGCCACACACACCAATGTTGTTGTGAAACTCCCTTACTCCGCCGTGGGTGGGCGTCGAGGGGGAGCCGTGCCCCCTGGCTCTGCCAGGCGAAGGCGGTTACGGCAGAGTGTGTGGACTAATCTCCATCTGTTCCACACTTCCTTCCTGTGAGGTGGGGGTTTGAGGAGGAGCCGGGCCCCCCTGGTTTTGCCAGGCGGAGGCGGTTACGGCGAAAGTGTGTGGACTAATCTCCATCGGTTCCACACTCCCTCCCTTCCTTCCTGTGAGTGGGGGTTGAGGAGGAGCCGGGCCCCCCCACCCACCCCCTGACTTTGCCAGGCGAAGGTGGTTACAGCAAAAACGTGGACTCCACCCGTTTCCGTGTGTACGGGATCGAGCGTTTCCCCCTCGCACGCGTAGGCTTTCCCCCGGGTGCTCTCGATTTCCTCCTCCCGCGTCTTATAAAACGTTCACCCGTGTTACATTTAGAAATTATTCCATTATCCAGATACATCGCGATTTTTAGTCGCCGAACATTCATAAATGGGTTGACAAAGGAATGTAAATTAAGTTATTTTAAATATTAATTGTCCGCGTGTAGCGCGTACTGGTATTGTGCATCCCCCTGGTTGACGGGGAACGTGTGTGTGTGTGTAGAACTCGTTTCGAACCGTACGTAGCCAACCCTGCTAATCGGAGATGCGCTCGACGTGAATGGGTGTCGTGGGGAGAGGGGGGGGTAAGGACGACAACCTAAACACACTCAGCAGTCGGAGAGAAATTACCTTTCAACTTAGACGATGATGTTTTAATAACAACGATGACGATGTTGCTGTGAAGTTTGAACGTCGAGTCATTGTGCGACTCGTGACCCCCCCCCCCCCCACCTCTCTCTCTCCGCCCACTCCACGTTCTTCGCCGGGAGCCCGAGTCGCGCTCGCCAACTTTGCTTTGCTTTGTCGCGCCGCGGATGTGAATCGCCGTTGCGGGAACGACGTCTCGCGAACCTCGTCCGTTCGCTTTTATTATTCAAGCACTTTCCTTAAATAAAAATAAAATGTTTTAAATAAAGTGTAGAGAGAGAGAGGGAAAAGTTGGTTGGTTGTTGAAGGACTCGTACACTCGATGCGGGCTGGCAAGGGCGCGTTCCCAGGTCCCTCGTTCCGGCCACACCACCCAGGTCCGACGTTCCGGCCACTCCCATTCCAGCCGTGCCACCCGGCTCTTTATCCTGACGCCTTTCCCCGAACCTGCCCCATGTGTGTGTGTGGGCGGGCACGTGGCATAAGCTGACATCGTCACCGTTGTCCGCGCGGTGACGTTTTGACAAGTTCATGAATTGATGAGTAAATGTGTCAATCGATCCTGGGGAAGAGCGGAAAACATCCTATAACGGCGTGAAATTGTCATTAAAAGTCGGAAAACTCCAACTACGGCTCATGCCACACCTGTTTTAAAGATTCTTGAATTGTTTGAACTCAACTCATCCAAGCTACTAGTGGAGTGTGGTAACCGTTACGACACTAGTGGCTGTTTAAACGTAGGGTTTGTGTGCACGTTTTATAGGTTTACCGCTTAACTCCAATCGGGCCCAACGGAGACAACAAAGACAAAGGCCCCCCGTGTAGCCTTAGACTGTAGGGGCAAGTGCTGTTCGCGAGCAGCGGCACGCGGCATATGACGGAGTGGGTGGCCAGCAAACCACGCCCGTGCGCCGCCTTTGTCTCCCTGGTGGCAAGCTTTTAACAGACGCCACTCATATGCTTTGGGTCTTTCGGTAAATTCACGTAGATGGGTGAAAAATAACAAAAAACTACGACGTTTTATGACGATCGCTTGTGTTGCGGTCGAAACGTCGTTGTTTTTTGGTTATTTTATTTTGTTATTTTATTTTGTTAGTTTATTCGAACCTATCTACGTGAATTGACCGAAAAACTCTAAGAAGATGAATTCCTGCAGTCACAAAAGCTTTGAGTCACGGCCAGACACTCAATTGAGGCCGGGTCGATCGAGTGGGGGGGGGGGGGTTGGCCCATGAAGGTGTTTCAGCAAATCGACACCGATGTTTGGGAGTGGCCGTGAGCGGCAACGGAGCTCGGGGGGGGTTGGGGGGGGCGGTGGTGGCCCGATTTTGTGCGGCCAATGGTGGGGGGGGGGGGCCACGATTTAAAATGTAAACACTTTATTTTAAATATTCTATGGGTCTTTCGGTAAAAGTCACGTAGATAGAAAAATAATACGAAAAAAAATATCACGACCTTTCGATTGCGACACCGAAACGAAAGACCCATAGAATATGTATTTCTGCAGCCACGAAAGCTCTAAGTCAAGACTTTAATTTAAATTGTATTTGACCTGGCGAAGACCCCGCTGGGCTGTTTATTTAGCTCTTCTTTTTCTCTGAAGCGACCCGGTCATCACGAGTGATGGCGTCTCAACAAAGCGTGGCTTCTCGTCGTCATTGTCATCACGTGGAAATTGACAGCAGCAGCAGCCGCAGACAAATACAATACTCTTAAACGCGTGACGTTGATTCGAAATGTTTGGTGGGGGGAAAACCGGAGGACACGGAGAAAAATCCGCGTGACCACGGTGGGGGGGGACAGAGAGACACCGCAAACTCCAAATATACAGCAGCAGGCATCATCAGGGTCCACATGGAACCCACGACCTCCTGCATACCAGGCGAGGTAGTCAACATCCCCTAGCCACCGTGATGATGATGATGATGAGAGAGAGAGACACCACAAACTCCAAATATACAGCCGTAGGCGTCGTCAGGGTCGGCATCGAACCCACGACCTCCTGCATACCAGGCGAGGTAGTCAACATCTCCTAGCCACCGTGATGATGATGATGAGAGAGAGACACGCAAACTCCAAATATATAGCAGCAGACATCGTCAGGGTCGGCATCGAACCCATGACCTCCTGCATACCAGGCGAGGGAGTTAACATCTCCTAGCCAGCGTGATGATGATGATGAGAGAGAGACACGCAAACTCTAAAAATACAGCAGCAGACATCGTCAGGGTCGGCATCGAACCCACGACCTCCTGCACACCAGGCGAGGTAGTTAACATCTCATAGCCACCGCCGGTAGCAGCGCTCACGGCCACGCCGCGTCTGCAATGCGCTCGTGATTTCCCCTCCGGAGTCTGTTTGTATATTCTAGATTTGAAGCTTTCGTGACTGCAAGGATTCATATTCTTATGTTTTTTCGGTAAAGTCACGTAGGTAAAAAATTTAAATTAATTAAAGTAAAATAAAAAATACAATTTAAATTAAAATCACGACGTATCGGAGGCAACACAAAACGGAAGCTTGTGTTGCCTCCGAAACGTCGTGATTTTAATTTTATTTTTATTTTACTTTTATTAATTTAATTTTTTTACCTACGTGACTTTACTGAAAAAAACCTAAGGATTCTGTTTGTACACCCCTGGGCTGGGCCTGGGTGGTAGCGGTGGCTCAGCGGTTAGCCGGGCCGCGTAAATTGACGATTTGATGGACCCAGTCAAAAGGGTTGACCCGAGTTCGACCCCGGGCTCTGGCTATCATCAGCGGCGAGTGGATTCTGAACTGGTGCTAAGTGGCCTCGCAAGCCTTCGCCAGCCTGTACTGACTGGTGTGGTGAAGTATGGTCAAAGACACCCCCCCATACCCCCGCACCCACCCCCCCCCCCCGACCGTGACTGACAAGACATGGCTGTCATCCAGCAGTGGATTGATATAAAAAGAGAGCCGGACAGACGGTGACTTCCATCCCCTTTGCTGTGGTAAAACCCTTCTCGCTTGATCAATAAAAGGCTGCCGATTGGTTTTGTTTAATTTCCCCCCTCCATGCTCGTGGTGGCCAGTAACATGTGGAACGTTGGGCCAAATGTTGGGGCCGACGTTGGGGTCAACGTTGTGGTCAATGTGAGGCCAGCGTGGGGTCAACGTGGGGTCAACGTGGGGCCAATGTTTGGGCCAACGTTGAGGCCAACATTGGGTCAACGTTAGGCAAACGTTGGCGTGTGGTTGACTGGGTGGTGAGTGTTCAAATGTACGAGCCGCGGCTGTTATTAAAACACGAATTTGCTGCCTGCACCCTTTCGTCTACGCGTGTCTGCCTGTGTCCTGTCATGGCGTCGCTCACCCCCCCCCCTCTTCCCCACCACACGACGGGCGCGTGGGTACAAACGCAAACTCGGGAGACGGGGGGCGGTGGGCGTCGAAGGGAACACGGCAAGTCCCCGTTTAACGCGGTGGATTGCGTTCCCCGGCAAGTGTGTGTGGCGGTGACGCTACAACGGCGCTTGTGCCAGGCTAGGTGCAGGAGGTCACGGGACAGACCGGGTGCCACGGGTTGACTGAGATGACTGGCGGATGCATCGCCTGTGCCCCCTACGGTGCCAGGCTAGGTGCAGGAGGTCACTGGACAAACCGGGTGCCACGGGATGACTGACAGATGCACCGCCTGTGCCCCCTACGGTGCCAGGCTAGGTGCAGGAGGTCACGGGACAGACACCCAAGTGCCACGGGTTGCCTGAGATGACTGACAGATTCACCGCCTGTGACCCCTACGGTGCCAAGCTAGGTGCAGGAGGTCACGGGACAGACACCCAAGTGCCACGGGTTGCCTGAGATGACTGACAGATTCACCGCCTGTGACCCCTACGGTGCCAGGCTAGGTGCAGGAGGTCACGGGACAGACACCCAGGTGCCATGGGTTGACTGAGATGACTGACAGATGCACCGCCTGTGCCCCCTACGGTGCCAGGCTAGGTGCAGGAGGTCACGGGACACCCAGGTGCTACGGGTTGACTGAGATGACTGACAGATGCACTGCTTGTGCCTCCTACGGTGCCAGGCTAGGTGCAGGAGGTCACGGGACAGACACCCAGGTGCCACGGGTTGACTGAGATGACTGACAGATGTACCGCCTGTGCCCCCTACGGTGCCAGGCTAGGTGCAGGTCACGGGACAGACACTCATGTGCCACGGGGTTGACTGAGATGACTGATAGATGCACCGCCCGTGCCTCCTACGGTGCCAGGCTAGGTGCAGGAGGTCACGAGACAGACCCAGGTGCCACGGGTTGACTGAGATGACTGATAGATGCACCGCCCGTGCCTCCTACGGTGCCAGGCTAGGTGCAGGAGGTCACGGGACAGACCAGGTGCCACGGGTTGACTGAGATGACTGACAGATGCACCGCTTGTGCCTCCTACGGTGCCAGGCTAGGTGCAGGAGGTCACGGGACAGACACCCAGGTGCCACGGGTTGACTGAGATGACTGACAGATGCACCGCCTGTGCTCCCCTACGGTGCCAGGCTAGGTGCAGGAGGTCACGGCACAGACACCCAGGTGCCACGGGTTGACTGAGATGACTGACAGATGTACCGCCTGTGCCCCCTACGGTGCCAGGCTAGGTGCAGGTCACGGGACAGACACTCATGTGCCACGGGGTTGACTGAGATGACTGATAGATGCACCGCCCGTGCCTCCTACGGTGCCAGGCTAGGTGCAGGAGGTCACGAGACAGACCCAGGTGCCACGGGTTGACTGAGATGACTGATAGATGCACCGCCCGTGCCTCCTACGGTGCCAGGCTAGGTGCAGGAGGTCACGGGACAGACCAGGTGCCACGGGTTGACTGAGATGACTGACAGATGCACCGCTTGTGCCTCCTACGGTGCCAGGCTAGGTGCAGGAGGTCACGGGACAGACACCCAGGTGCCACGGGTTGACTGAGATGACTGACAGATGCACCGCCTGTGCTCCCCTACGGTGCCAGGCTAGGTGCAGGAGGTCACGGCACAGACACCCAGGTGCCACGGGTTGACTGAGATGACTGACAGATGCACCGCCTGTGCTCCATGCAATCTCCAAAGACAAAGATCCCCCGTATAGCCTAAACAGACTGTCGGGGCAAGTGCTGTTAGCGAGCACCTATGAAGGCCGGCACGGCACACGAGGGGTGGGTGGCCAGTGACGATGTTTACTACAAACCGCACAGGTGACTGTACTAATTTGAGGCTGAGTCAACCTAGGGGTGGCCCAGGACGGTTCCGATAAATTGTCACTCGTGTTGGTGGCCGTGAGCGGGAATCGAACTTGGGTTCAACGGGTTCACGTTGCAGGCAGTATCACCGCAGTAATCATCATAAGGGGCTGTCCATAAATGACGTCACGCACCTGGGGGGGGGGGGTGATAAATGTGACGTCACATCAAAATGCGCAACTTTAAATAAATACTAGCTGTACTACCCGGCTTCGCCCGGGACTTGTATCCACCACGGCCGGCCGCCTTTGTCTCCCCAGTGGCGATGTTAATACGCCACACCAGTTACTCGTTTGAGGCTGAGTCGACCTAGGGGAGGTTCAAATAATCGTCACCGGTGGTGGCCGTGAGCAGGAATCGAACTCGGTTCGCCGGGTTTGTAGCGCAGCGTAGCGTTAAGCACTACACCCACCACTCCTCACACACCACACACGCACAGACACAGACACACACACAAACACACGCAGACACACACAGACAGAGACACACACACACAGACACACAGACAGCACGCTAACCACTACACTACCGCTCCCCACACACCACACACGCACACACACAGACACACACACAGACACACACACACAGACACACACACACAGACAGCACGCTAAGCACTACACTACCGTTCCCCCTACACAACACACGCGCGCGCGTCCATAGGTACACATACACGCGCTTGCTGCAGACACACACGACTTTCAGGGTGCGTACGGCAGTAACCGACTGAAATAATAAAGCGGCAATGCTGCGCGAGGAACGCCTGAGACCTGCAAGACATTTGTGTAATGCGAGCGTAAACGGACAAACACATACAAACACATACACACACATACACACAAACACATACACACACATACACACACATACATACACACAAACACATACACAATACACACACACATACATGCAGACACACAGACAGACACATAACACACATACATACACACACATACATACACAGAAACACATACACACACATACATAGACACACACATACATACACACAAACACATGCACACACGTACATACACACATACATACAGACACGCAGACATACACATAAACACATACAAAAAAACCCACATACATACACACACACATACAAACACACAAACACATACACACACATACATACACACATACATACAGACACACAGACATACACATAAACACATACACACATACACACAGACATACACATAAACACATACACACATACACATGACCCGGCTTCGCCCGGGACTTGGATCCACGATGCCCGGCCGCCTTTGTCTCCCCAGTGACGATGTTCACACACGACAGCAGTTACGCGTTTGAGGCTGAGTGGACCTAGGGGAGGGCCAGGTCCGTTTCAAATAATCGTCAGCGGTGGTGGGCGTGAGTTGGAATCGAACTGGGGTCGCTCAACCAGCTTAATGACTATTTGTACAAAGAACATATAAAGAATCGATTATAATAAGCAGGCTACAGTCGACATTATAGACTGCCAGTACACGCAGTCAGCTTCATAAGCAGGCTAGAGTGTACATGATAGAGTGGCAGTACGCTCACCGAGCTTAATAAGCAGGCTACAGTCTACATGCTAGACTGGCAGTACGCTGACCCAGCTTAATGACTATTTGTACAGTGAACATTTAAGTAATCGATTGTTGGTGCGTTGGGTTTAAAAGTAATATTAATTGCACACATTGTGGTGGGGGTGGAGTGAACAGTAGGAAAAACTTTGATGAATTTACCTCAGAGTGGCGTGGTGGGTGTCGAGGCCTAGTAGCGTGCAGAGCCTGCGGCCTCGCCAAAATTGTCCACCCGGCAGAGGCAGGGTACGGGTGGCGTGCCTTCCCCCCCCTCAGCGCTCCAACAATACTGTGTAATGGCTATTATTTAATTATTTACGGAGCCTATGAAAGTGGCGAAGGCGTGGCTAGCCCTTGGCAGGGGCAACCGCCGTCCAATGAAACTGCAGCCCTTGGCGAAGGCGTCGCTAGCCGTTGCCAGGTCCAATGAAAGCGGCGAAGGCGTCGCTAGCCGTTGCCAGGGGCAACCGCCGTCCAATGAAAGTGCGTATGGTCCGAAATCCACACACACACACAGACAGACATCCACGATTTTATATATATAGATAGACAACACGTTCTACTTAATTAAATAGACGTTTTAATAAATGTTTTCTCCTACAACATCAGAGTGCAGCGCCACATTAAATACGCACTACAATGACAATAGTTTAAAGCGATTTGAAGCATGTTTAGAGCCGAGTCGGGGTTAAACTGAAACGCATCTGCATGCGATCGCGTTCCAAGTTTTTTTATTTAAAAATCGCGGTTTTTTTTGTCTTCACCCGGTGTCCCTCGCCGGGCACCGTAGCGCCGTCCGCCTATATAAGGAGGAGGCGAAGGTGACGGCGATTCCCAGACGCGCTCCGTTCACGCCATAACCTCTCTGCTGGTTCCACGCCACCGCTCAGCTCACCGCTCTCAACTCACCCGCTGGTCTCACCACTCGCCCTCACCGCTCACCGCTCACCCTCACCGCTCACCCTCACCTCTCATCCTCACCGCTCGCTCCCACCACTACCCCTCCCTACCCGTGAGGGCTCCGTCTCCTCACCCCCTCACCTCCGCCATGGCCTACCAGCTGTACAGGAACACGACGCTGGGAAACAGCCTCCAGGAGAGTCTGGACGAGCTCATCCAGGTGAAGGCGACGTCCGCCGCGTGCGAGACAGACAGAGAGGCGACCTCCTCCTCCCCCCCCCTACCCCCCCGGGCCCGCTCGAGTGGCGGGGACCCTAAGCGGCGGCGGGCGCTAGGCGAGGCCGAGGCTCCGCGCGGAGACGTAGGCCCGAGGAGCGGCGAGTGGAGTTCGCGTAACACTCGGGACGTGTGTGGCCGCTGCTGTTGTTGTTGTTTGATTATCGGTGGTTTCAACGGTGGCGTGGTCGTGAGTTGTGGTGGTGGTGGTGGTGAGTTGTGGTGGTGGTGAGTTGTGGTGGTGGTGGTGGTGAGTTGTGGTGGTGGTCGTGAGTTGTGGTGGTGGTGGTGGTCGTGAGTTGTGGTGGTGGTCGTGAGTTGTGGTGGTGGTGGTGAGTTGTGGTGGTGGTCGTGAGTTGTGGTGGTGAGTTGTGGTGGTGGTGGTGGTCGTGAGTTGTGGTGGTGGTGGTCGTGAGTTGTGGTGGTGGTGAGTTGTGGTGGTGGTCGTGAGTTGTGGTGGTGGTCGTGAGTTGTGGTGGTGGTGGTGGTCGTGAGTTGTGGTGGTGGTGGTGGTCGTGAGTTGTGGTGGTGGTCGTGAGTTGTGGTGGTGGTGGTGAGTTGTGGTCGTGAGTTGTTGTGGTGGTGGTGAGTTGTTGTGGTGGTGGTGAGTTGTGGTGGTGGTGGTGAGTTATGGTGGTGGTCGTGAGTTGTGGTGGTGGTCGTGAGTTGTGGTGGTGGTGGTGGTCGTGAGTTGTGGTGGTGGTCGTGAGTTGTGGTGGTGGTGGTGAGTTATGGTGGTGGTCGTGAGTTGTGGTGGTGGTCGGGAGTTGTGGTGGTGGTCGTGAGTTGTGGTGGTGGTGGTGGTGGTCGTGAGTTGTGGTGGTGGTCGTGAGTTGTGGTGGTGGTGGTCGTGAGTTGTGGTGGTCGTGGTGGTGATGGGGGGCCCCACTCGCGGCCGCCGACGCCCCGGGCTAGGCACGATACGAGGTGAGTTCTGAGTCTCGGTCCTCTAGGTCGACTCGGCCTCAAGTGAGTTACCCGGTGTGTAGTAGACATCGCCGCTGGGGAGACAAAGGCGGCCGGGCGTGGGGGCTGGCCACCACCCCGCGTCCGCTCGTGTGCCGTGCCGGAGTTTGTAGATGCTGCTACTCGCTAGGCTGTGGGGGGGGGGGGGGTGGAGATTCAATGCCCATGGTGTTCACTAACACGCAGTCTGAAGTATTTCATGTGGAGCCCTTCCGTTTGAGATGCACAAGTCGTCGTGGTTGGAGTTTAGAGACCACACGAGGCTTGGTGTGGTGATCTTACGAAGTAATACAGGTTTTTTTGGTGAGATCGCGTTATCTATAAATGGATCTAACCCTAATTCTAGACTTGAAGCTTTCGTGACTGCAAGGAATCATATTCTTAGGTGTTTTCGGTAAAGTCACGTAGGTAAAACATCAAAATTAATAAAATAATAAAATAAAATACAGATCACGACGTTTCGGAGGCAACACAAGTCTCCGTCATCAGGTGGGACAGTCACAGCCAGATTAGCTGCATCAAGTGAGGCAATGATTCAAGATGTAATCCCTTAAAAGCGAGTTGAGGGGGGAGGAGAGGGGGGGGGCTCATCAGAATGTGGTAGCCAATGAATGGAAAGTATCGGGAGAGAGGGGCCAAAAAAGGGTGGGAATATGGATCTAACCCAAAAACATTTATGTTAAACTGATCTTACGAAATGTGTTTTTTTTAATCCTGCCCAAGGAAACGACCGTCTTTTTTAAAATAAAGTCTCTGCCGATGTTGGTATACAAACACACGGCTGTCACAATCCAAACGCGTTAGGACATATTCTTGTACAGGGAAATCGAGGTTTCAGGTCCACATGGCGTACATCCGTTTCAATACGGGCGAATAATTTGTTTTTGTCTATTTGTTTCTCCCTTGTGATGGTACTTTGTGGAGGACGAACGTTTGGATTTAAAAGGGGCACCGGGTGACCAATAAGGTCTGAGTTGGGCTGTAATAAGATGGGGCACTGATAAGTGGTTGACGGGTGTGTAGTAGTTAATCGTGGTGTAGTGCATAGTGTAGTTTATAGTAGTGTATAGTGTGTTTTATTTTCTGTGTTTTATCTCTCTCTCAAATTTAGCATTCTCAGGAAGAACGTAATCAACCAGGTAGAGTTGACTGTTATGTTATCCGACTCTCAGTTGTATTACATTACATTTCTAAGTATACTAGATTTGTGTTTTTATTTCATTCATACCTGACGACGATTGCTTGTTGCAATCGAAACGTATGCTAGTATTTTAATTTATTATTTTCTCTTTCTACGTGACTTTACCAAAAGAACCAAAGAGTAGTAGTGTATAGTGGCATACCTGTGAATCCGTTCGGTTTACCCCCTATTCTTGTGCAGAGAAATTGAGTTAAAACAAATGCCCATGTGTTTGTGTTTCTCCCTTGTGATCGAACTTTGTGTAGGATGAACGTTGACATTCGTAAGGGCACCACGGGGTTGACCGATACGGTCTGACTTGGTCTGTAATAATGTGGGAGGCACTGATAAGGGGTTGATAGCTACTTGAACGATCCGGCTGATGGAGGAGGATGACGGCGGGGGTGGGGGGGGTCGGTGCCGTTTTCACGAAGGGCTAACAAGGCTTGGAGTAGAATGGGATTGCGGTTGCATGAGGTTAGGACTCGTGGGGGGGGGGGGGGGGGGGGTGGTGTGAGGGGTGGCACAGCCTTCAGTCCTGGAGCCGCATGCGGATCTTTAAGGACTGCCGCTACGTGACGTTGTTGACGTTGCAGTGCGGCTCATGAAACATTGAGGGGAGTGGGGGGCTATTTTGGTTGTCGAACTTCCTACTACCCCCCCCCCCGGGTTCGGTTGAAGCGGCATCCTTTGTCGCGAGCGAGGCCACCGTGGGCGAGTGGCGGGGGGGGGCCCTGGTGGCCTTTAGCGCGGCCCCTGACGTGTGCCCCCCCCCAACACACAAATAGTTAAAACACCCCCCCCCCATCATCATCGTGCTGCTGTCAAACCCCCAATGGTTTCAATGGCCCCTCGCACTTCTGAGGTTCTATCGGTGAAAATGCCCCCCCCCCCCCTCTGAAAATTGGCGAAGAACGCTGCTGTAGATTTGGCTGCTGCTGCTGCCATCAATGTCCACGTGATGATGTTAGAGCCACTTGGTTGAGCTGCCATTTGCGATGGCCAGAGTCGCTTCCGATAAGAAGAGCAACGTAGCTCAAAGTGGGACTTGCCTGGTACAATAAAACATTTAGTTTAGTACATCGCAGCGTTCTTCATTGTACGAGGCCCGCGGGCCACTGGCGACCCCTGGGTGGCCTTTAGTGTGGGCCCGCGACAACAAAGAGTGAAAACACCCCCCATCATCATCGTGCAGCTGTCAAACCCCCAATGGTTTCAAATGTGTGGTGGCCTCTCGTACTGCTGAGGGTCTTATCGGCGAAAATGCCCCCCCCCCCCACACCTCAAAAAACCAGCATTCTTTGCTAAATTTTCAAAGGGTTATGTTGAGGGGTTGGGGTTATCCGATTGATTACAGAGACTCCTCTACTTACAAACGAATCTGGTTGCAGACTTTTGTTCACAAGTCTAGTTTGTTCATAAGTCCAAGTTTACTCCTGTCGAATACAAACACGTTATGGCGTGTACACTAAACATGGGGAACGGCCTTAAAAGTTGTATAATCTCCTGTAGATGTAGATGCCACTGGTTCTTCACGGTCCGAACGGGGCAACGGGACGTATGGACAGGTTTGTTCGTATCTCTGGAAGTTCGTAAGTCGAATGTTTGCAAGTCGATGAGTCGCTGTACCGTAACATTGCAAGTGTCGTACACCTACTGCACAACACTTGGCAGGACTCTTGGGAAAATAGTCGGCAGACTCCGTGATGCTTTCTTAGGTAAACACGCGCAATTGAGGTGGGGTAGGGTTATGATTTTGGAGGTGGGGTAACGTATGTATGTTGAACTTCTTTCGCGTTCTACGTAGCCAAACCGTGCTATGGTGTGGGGCAGAGGGTTGGCGATCAAAATAAGGAGACGAGCCACATTTTTTTGTTCACCTTTAGAAAATTTAAAACAACCCCCTCCAATAATTTCAAGATCACAGCCACGATGCACCGCGGCGAAATACGGAGACGGCGTCCCTCGATAAATAACGTCGTCGTCACGAAGCAGAGGGCCTTGAACAGCCACCGCACGCTTCTCCGGAGCCGCAGGTTTGCGACCCCTGCCCGGGTTTGGGCCTAGGGTTTACAGCTTCATCCTCACGATCCCTGGGCAAATATCCCACCGCAGTCGACGTGTCCACTGCACATGTTGTCATTTGTTGTTTCCACTTTCCGCTGCCTTGTAGTGCCAATATGTCTCAAGTAGTGCACATCATAGTAGTGGAGTGTATGGTAGTGTATAGTGTAGTGTATGGTAGTGTAAAGTGTAGTGCATCATCATCACGATTCATGCCAATATGGCTCAAGTGGTAGTGGCCACATCATAGTTCTGTAGTGTATAGTAGTATAGTGGTGTGTAGTGTACGGTAGTGTGCGGTGTAGTACATCATCATCACGATCCATGCCAATATGGCTCAAGTGGTAGTGGCCACATCATAGTTCTGTAGTGTGTAGTGTATAGTGTATGCTAGTGTGTAGTGTATGGCAGTGTATAGTGTAGTGTATCATCACGATCCATGGGCAGATATCCCACCGCAGTAGATGTCTACTGCACGTTTCGTATTTTGTTGTTTCCACTTTCCGCTGCCTTGTGCCAATATGTCTCGAGTAGTACACATAATAGTAGTGTAGTGTATGGTAGTGTATAGTGTATGGTAGTGTACAGTGTAGTGCATCATCATCACGATCCCACCGTAGTGGGTATGTCCACTGCACATTTCGTCATTTGTTGTTTGTACTTTCCCCTCTGCCTTGTGCCAATATGGCTCAAGTAGTAGTGGCCGCATCTTTTTGGCACGATGTCGTCAAGCCCATTCTCTGTTAGGTCTTCCTCTCTTTCCAGTTCATTAAATTTTTCTGAACGACAACACACTTTACATTTTCTTGTTGTCCATCCTACACGTGTCCAAATAGTGCCAGTTCTATGTGCAGAATTTTTCTTACCGCTATGCTGTTTCGTGCTTGGTAGGGTGTTATAGTTTAGGGAGTAGGGTTTAGCTGTTATGGTTAAAGGGCACGCTTGGTCGAGTTGGGGGGTTTGGTTTCAGGGGTTAGGACGGTGTGTTATAGCAAGACTTGTGCGCTTGCTGTTCAGACTAGTATCTCTGATCGCTGCTATTAATCTGCACCTGTGGGCACAGCAGGCCCCGGCCGTTAAAGTATGTTGGTTGATGCGTGCCAGTGTGTGTGTGTGTGGTGAAAAGGAGTTTTCTGTTCACATGGTCTTACTTTAGTCGCCGTTTGTACATTCTCGTGAGCGTTACCTGGGCTCGATTCTCAACTGCGGCTAAGGTTCGGTGGCAAAAGAAGAATTTTGGTGGAGAGGGGGGAAGTAGCCTGAAGGTTCCCTCGGCTCGGCCTTAGCGGAGTATCTTTGTGATTAAACAAATACATGTGCTGCTTTGGCAGTGGTGCACGATTAATAGAACTCGTCAAGATGGTAAACGAATCATCGCGTGGCGCTTTCGGGTGCGCGCTTCTGCGGCCGTCTGGAACGCTCTTCCTTCCGATATTAGTAAACCTCTGGGGACTGCACTTGTAATTTGTCGTCGAGATTGACGGGGCACCTCCCGATTAGCGCGGGTGGCTACGTACGGTGCGGAAGAAATCCAACGCGCATCGTCAACACCGCCTCGTACATAAAATAAAAACGCAATTCACATCTTTCCCCCTCCCCCCCCCTTTGATGTCGTTTCGCAAATGCGCCGTCGCTTTATGAACACCGCTGCCTGATTTGCGTCGTCTCAGCTACACGCTTGCGTCGCTGGCGGCATCTGCGGCGTCCTTACTCGTTATCCGTCGCCCGCTATTCCCCTGCAAATATCGCTTCGACGGACGTCGTTTCGATATTCGTCGTCACACGTTTTCGGGAACGCATCCCCAACGTAAGCCCGGTGTATGTTGCTGTATGATCGCTGACGTTATCATTTGGTATTTTAAGGCGGCGGTGTTGTTGTTGTTGGCGAGTGTGAGTTGTTTTTTAATAACCGAAAGTCTCTGGCTCTGGGGACCGGCAGGAGGCAAGATCGAAATACCTGCGGTCAATGTCATTTAATAGTATCATGGTGGACTTGGAATGAACATCGTGACGTAATGGTCATATCAATTCTAGATTTGAAGTTTTTCGTGACTGCAAGAATCCATACTCTTTGGTTTTATTTGGTAAAGTTACATAGGTAAAAAAAACAATCTTTTATTTTTACCTACGTGACTTTACCGACTAAAACCAAAGTATGGTCATATCAACTAACAAACGGTGCCTATGTCATTGTAGTTACAATACTTAGTAGCAATAATAATTGGCCATCTCTGGCGTAGGCCAATCAGTTTCAAAGACAATGCGTTTGTTACACTATGTAACATTATTGTTGTTCCTGGGTAGTAAGTGTTAATTGCTTATGCCTAAGTATAGAAAATGTCTATTATTCCCCACAGACTTTGCTTTTGTGACCAGGACAGTGATCATTTGAAATTTACCTATTTTCAATGAGAAAACGGGCGAATTTGTGTCTTTTCGTTCACACATGAATCCAAATTAACATGTATTTATACTAAAGTAATTAAAAAATTACTACGAAAGATTTAGAAGGGAGTAGTTTTTCGAGATTGACGATTATACTGTAAATAACTTTCATGAATCAGCCCCCAAATATTGTCTCCCATCATGTTCTCGTTACACTGTCCTTGGTAGCGGCGTTCAAAGTCCAATCTATCCTGGTGGAAGTGCTCGCCTTGCTCCTCCGAGTACGCTCCCATGTTCTCCTTGAATTTATCAAGATGAGCATCAAGGATGTGGACTTTGAGGGACATCCTACAGCCCATTGTGCCGTAGTTTTTCACCATAAACACATTCCTGCGGAGGTAGCTGGTAGGAACGGGTTGCTCGGTCAATGGCCAGGGTCAACGGCGGCGTGGTGTATTCCGCAAATATGCCCGACCTGTGAGGGTGGGCACCAGCCGGCGTGAGTAGGTTAAACGTTGAGTTTTATAAGGGCACCACGGGGTGACCAGCCCCTCCCCACCCAGCCCCACCCCTCCCACCCTCCCCACCCAGCCCCTCACTGCATGACGGACGGACACAATAATCCCCTGTGGGCTGGTGTAACCAGGAGGTTCCTACCAGTATCAGAGCGTTTGTTTGCACGTTCACCACAAGCGTGCGTGGTCAATGCGGACTTGATTCCTTGCAAAAGGTTTCTAATTTGGTGTTTGAACATCGTAACGACTCCTGTTTTATTGCCGGAAAGGGGACAAACCTCTTCTTCTTGTTCGTTTCCCTACTTTGGTAAAGATGCCACTTCCTCCCCCTCCTTTTGTGCATGCGCCGCCGATTGCCGCCGCATGTGCGATGTGGCTCACGAGGGTTTGTGGTGGTTGTGTGTGGGTGTCCAGTCCCAGCAGATGAGTCCTCAGCTGGCGCTGCAGGTGCTGCTGCAGTTCGACAAGGCGATCAACGCGGCGTTGGCGCAGCGCGTGCGCAACCGCATCAGCTTCCGCGTAAGCCTGGCTTTGCGCGCTCGCGCTCACACTCGCACTCACACTCCACAACAACCGCCATTCGCCACCTAAGTGGTGGCGATGTCGCCACGACGCTTGTGCCAGGCTATATCTGCACGTTAAAGCCACGTGAAGTGTCGAACGCCCGCTGGCAGGAGGTCATGGGACGGACCCAGGTGGTGCCATGGGTCGACTGAGATAACTGGCCGATTCACACACACACACACACACTCGTACACAAACACACCTGCACAAACAAAAACTTATGATCCCCCAATATAGCCTCAATAGACTGTAGGGGCAAGTGCTGTTAGCGAGCACCTATGAAGGCCAGAACGGTATACGAGGAGATGGGTGGCCAGCTCCAAGCCTGACCGCCTTTGTCTCCCAAGTGGCGATGTTTACACACTACAACAGGTACTCATTTGAGGCTAAGTTGACCTAGGGGAGGCCCAGGACCAGTTCAAATAATCGTCACTAGTGTTGGCGCTACGTGCTAACCACGCCACTACCGCTCCACACACAAATGCTCAACCGCCCTTCTCCGCTATGTGGTGGCGGTGATGTCAATGCGGAACTCGTGCCAGGCTCGGTGCACTTTGAGGCCGTTGTGTGAAGTTTGGAAGGCTCGCTGGCAGGAGGTCACGGGACGGACTCCGTGTTATGGATTGACTGAGATCACTGATGGAGGCACGCACATACACGTAGACACTCACAAATGTACAGAGACGCACAACAGCTTGTGCCAGGCTAGAAGCGTGTAAGGCTCGCTGCTGGCAGGAAGTCATGGGGACAGACCCAGGTGTTGACTGAGATGACTGGCAGATGCGTGCCACCCACTGTACTGTGTTTCTCGCCGTCCAGCGCTCCGCTCGACGTTGCGAGCATCGCTCCTCCGCTTTCCGTTGTGGCTGCAGTCTGATCAGCTCTGCATCTTGTATCACATGAGCCCACGTGTTCTCTCGCCCAGGCTCTGCCGTTTAGCCCCCTCGACTCGTACCCTCTTCCTAAATGTATTCCTACGCACGCAATTCAGCACTTGTATGTTGAACTTCTTTCGCACCATACGTAGACAACCGTGCTAATGGGAGGTGTGAAGCATTGATTTTAATTGGGGTCTTTACTTGCCTAATTATTTGTTTCCTTGTTACCCACCCCCCCCCTCCGTGTCTCCACAATGTCCCCATGCCAATCTCTCCCTGCGTGCCCCATCTCCTGCCCGTGTCCCCGGCACCCCCCTCCCCCGTGTGCAGGGCTCTCTGAACACGTACCGGTTCTGTGACAACGTGTGGACCTTCGTGCTCAACGACGTGGAGTTCCGCGAAGTCACCGACCTCGTCAAGGTCGACAAAGTGAAGATCGTGGCCTGCGATGGCAAGAGTGAGCGCCCAGACACCATGGGCTCACACTCACCACGCACTCACCTCGCCTCACCGCTCGCCTCGCCGCGCGCTCACCTCGCCGCTCGCTCACCTCACCGCTCGCCTCATCTCACCGCTCACCTCACCGCGCGCTCACTTCACCAAGCGCTCATCACACTCGCTTCACCATGCACTCGCCACAAAAAGACAAAGATCCCCGTATAGCCTTAACAGACTGTCGGGGCAAGTGCTGTTAGCGAGTGGCACCTATGAAGGCCGGCACGGCGCACAAGAGGGTGGGCGGCAAGCACCACGCCCGACCGCCTTTGTCTCCCGAGTGGCGATGTTTACGCCACACCAGGTAATCATTTGAGGCTGAGTGGACCTAGGGGAGACCCAGGACCCGTTCAAATAATCGTCACTGGTGTTGGACGCGGGTGGGGAAATCGCACCTGGTTTGCCGGGTTCATAGCGTAGCGTAGCGCTAACCGCTGCACGCACGTCAAATTTTACGCGAGTTTTTTTGGTTACCCGACTGAGATGGTCAACTCCGCTACACTTGAGTGGGGGGGAAGGGGGGGCACCCGGTCTAATCGCAGCTCTGCGAGTGCGTGTGGGTTTCTACGCGAGCCCACTACGAGTGTGTCGGTGAATCGTTGGGTGACCGTGCGAGACCATCGGTCAATTCGTGATGCTTGAGAGCACATTTTAAATCGCAGCCGGCGCCGACTTTGATCCACCGTGCGCCCCCTCTCTCTCTCTCTCTGTCGCTCATCCTCAGTGGCCCGCTCCCCGCTAGTGCTCGCCGTGACATGCGGGCCCCCTCCCCTGTGTCTCCTCTCGTTGGTCACAGCCTCCGGCTCAACGTCTGCGGAGTGAGGAGGAGGACGAGGAGGAGGAGGAGCGGTGGCGGAGTGGAGCCTCGTCGGAGCAGCGGCGGCTCGCTCGCTCACCCTCCACCAGCCCCCGATACACACCCACTCCCTCACCATCCATCCCACCACTCCCTCACCCTCCACCAGCCCCCGATACACACCCACTCCCTCACCATCCATCCCACCACTCCCTCGTCCTCCACCAGCCTCCGATACACGCAGTCCACTCGCCCACTCCCTCACCATCCATCCCACCACTCCCTCATCCTCCACCAGCACCCGATACACACCGTTCACTAACCCACTCCCTCACCATCCATCCCACCACTCCCTCATCCTCCACCAGCACCTGATACACACCGTTCACTAACCCACTCCCTCACCATCCATCCCACCACTCCCTCATCCTCCACCAGCACCCGATACACACCGTTCACTAACCCACTCCCTCATCATCCATCCCACCACTCCCTCATCCTCCACCAGCACCCGATACACACCGTTCACTAACCCACTCCCTCACCATCCATCCCACCACTCCCTCATCCTCCACCAGCACCCGATACACACCGTTCACTAACCCACTCCCTCACCATCCATCCCACCACTCCCTCATCCTCCACCAGCACCCGATACACACCGTTCACTAACCCACTCCCTCACCATCCATCCCACCACTCCCTCATCCTCCACCAGCACCTGATACACACCGTTCACTAACCCACTCCCTCACCATCCATCCCACCACTCCCTCATCCTCCACCAGCACCCGATACACACCGTTCACTAACCCACTCCCTCACCATCCATCCCACCACTCCCTCATCCTCCACCAGCACCCGATACACACCGTTCACTAACCCACTCCCTCACCATCCATCCCACCACTCCCTCATCCTCCACCAGCACCCGATACACACCGTTCACTAACCCACTCCCTCACCATCCATCCCACCACTCCCTCATCCTCCACCAGCCTCCGATACACGCAGTCCACTCGCCCACTCCCTCACCATCCATCCCATCACTCCCTCTTACTCCACCAGCCCCCGATACACGCAGTCCACTCGCTCACTCCCTCACCATCCATCCCACCACTCCCTCGTCCTCCACCAGCACCCGATACACACCGTTCACTCACCCACTCCCTCGCCATCCATCCCACCACTCCCTCCACCAGCCCCAGCGTATATCGACGCGATCTGCTGGCCCCACTCCGCGCCTACGCTGCTGTCGCGTTTCGCCTCTCCCACTTCCCACCCTGCTTGGCCCTCCTCCACCACCACGGCCGAGTCACCCGCTCTGCACTCACGGTTGAAGATGCAGGGTTGTTGTCGTGGTGGTTGTAGCAAGCCACCCTCTCTGATGGTGTGAAACCCAGACTATAAATATATCCCCGTAAAAGAGAATTGGCTCTTGATACCTTGATTTCGGACTGTCAAATAATAATTCGGTGCAATCGTAGCGGCACGTGACATTGTGAAGGCGTTGTAGATCCCGTGTCCGAGGAATTGATTTTAATTTGCAAAATCATTCCAGCACGTCCTCTGGATTCACTCCGTCTCCTCGTTCGATGCTGTGCCTCTCCGGTCACTACCCCACAACTCTCGCTCGCCATCCTCTCGGCTACAATTACTCTCCCATAATCCTCCCAGCTGCAATTGCTCACCCATCATCCTCCCAGCTGCCATCACTCGCCATCATTCTCCCAGCTCCCATAATCCAGGACTCCCATCCCCAATCCGAGTGAATCTCCTTCAAAATCGCCCCCTAACCCCCCCCCCCCCCCCACTGCACAACCACCACCCACACTGTTGTCACCCCTTGCATAAAAATAGTTAACATTTTAAATTGAATTGTTTTGTTCCCTCTGGCGTCTCTCTTTATGTTCAGTGTAATTTATTTGTCTCCGTTTTGACGAGAGAGCCCCGCGCACGTTACCAACGGTGCAACGTTCGAATTTTTTTTTTTAATAAAGGATTTTCTTTGGTTTTCTATTGTTGCTGGTGGTCGGTGATTTCATTTTACAGCCGGCACAGTCCGAGATGAACGACGTTCCGGGAATCAAATTTGGCCACGCCACATCTTCTGACACGGTGGTGGCTGGCCTGCCTACGATCCATCATGGGTTTAACCAGGCTGGATTGTGTGAGGAGCTCACGAATCTTTTAAAAGCTTGGGTAAAGTCCCATCGGTGAGCTCCTCCGGCAGGCAAGGCTGTGTTGGCCGAGTCATGTAGCCCGCATGCCCAGCCACTGCATGCCTTAAACAGCTTTTATTCGGCCGGATAGAGGGGGCTAATTGGGCAGGGCACGGGCTAGAGTGAGATGGAGTGATGTGGTACAGGAGGATGTGGAGCTGAGTGGACTTGCCGATGACTGGTACCAGCAGTGTTAAGATCGGCCTCAGGAGGCTTGTAAAGGACGCTGCTGCTACTGGGCATTTGGAGGCAGTCACCCTCCAGCGACAACAGCGGGCAGAGGAGCCACACAACGAGTGGAGTGCCGGTCGGCTAAAACACAGGAAGTTAGCACAGTAGGGTACACAGGTGGTGCATCGGCCACTCATCTCAGTCGGTTGTCCCATGGCACCTGGATCTGTCCCATAACCTGGCCGGCGGGCGCTCTGCACTTCACGTGGCCTTGAAGTGCGCACAGCCGTGAGGACGTCGCCGCCACTCAATGGTGACTGGCGGTTGCTGTGTTCGGTGAACGAGCATGCGAAACCTGGCCACCAGAGTTCAATTCCCGCTCGTGGCCAGCAACACCAATGACGATTATCTGATCTGGTCCTGGACCTTTCCCTAGGTCGACTCATCCTAAAATGAGTACCTGGTGTGGTGTGTGGTAAAACATCGCCACTCGAGAGACAAAGGTGGCCGGGTCGTGGTGCCGACCACGCACCCCTTGGTGTGCCGTGCCGACCTTCGTAGGTGCTGATCGCTAGCAGTACTTGCCCAAACGGTCTGTTAAGGCTACACGGGCGATCTTTGGTGAACATTTAACACATTCCTGCAGAGGGAGCTGGTAGGAACGTTGGGTTGCTCGGTCAATGGCCAGGGTCAACGGCGGCGTGGTGTATTCCGCAAATATGCCCGACCCGTGAGGGCGGGCACCAGCCGGCGTGAGTAGGTTAAACGTTGAGTTTTATAAGGGCACCACGGGGTGACTAGCCCCTCCCCACCCAGCCCCAACCCCTCCCACCCAGCCCCACCCCCCACTCAGCCCCACCCATCCCACCCCCCACCCAGCCCCACCCTCCCCTCCCAGCCCCTCCCCACCCAGCCCCACCTTCCCCTCCCCACCCAGCCCCTCCCCACCCAGCCCCTCCCCACCCTCCCCTCTCCACCCAGCCCCACCCCTCCCATTTTTGGATGCACGACGAACAGACAGAATAATCCCCTGTGGGCTGGTGTAACCAGGAGGTTCCTACCAGTATTAACTCTACCACGAACCCGATCACCGCCACTTACCGTATCACTCATTCTATCATTACCACCGACCCGATCACTACCATTTTTTTTTTGCTACGGCAGGACACTTGAGAACCCAGAGGCAACTCGTGCAGAAGAGGGGGGAGAGAGACTGCAACCTCGCACGAAGAACATCAAACTCAAGACAGGAATCTAACCCAGGGGACCTATGTTGCGTCGAGGCGCTGTTGCTGCCACCACTTCGCCACAGAGTTGGTGCAACGCGCGTCTAGTTGCCAGCAGACAATCTGACAAGGCGCAGCAAACGACATCGACTGTGGCACCTAGATTGTCAACTGCGGTGTATGTTACGTGGAACTTCTTTCGCACCGTACGCAAGCCAACCGTGGCTAATCGGAGGTGCGGGGGAAGGACAACAAACTAAACACAAAAAGCAGTTTTAAAGAAAGGAGTTTGTCAACCGAGATTATTTAAAAGTGCATAGCTCCAGTGGCTTCCTAATATTGGAAGAGCGGATCTGAAAAAGCTGCAGTGTTGATCATCGACCCAGTGCCGACTGAGAAACGCGTCTGGATTTGGTGGTTGGTGGGCAACGCGAGTGCTGGCTTGGGAAGTCGGGATTATCGGCACAAGGCACTACCACTAGAATAACAAGGTACCCATCTTATACTGGTAGGAACCTCCTGGTTACACCAGCCCACAGGAGATTATTGTGTCCGTCCGTCGTGCAGGAAGGGGCTGGGTGGGGCTGTGTGGGGGGTGGCAGGGGTGGGGCTGGTCACCCCGTGGTGCCCTGACGATTATCTGAACCGGTCCTGGGCTTCCCCTAGGTCGACTCAGCCTCAAATGAGTACCTGGTGCTGTGTAAAACATCACCACTGGGGAGACAAAGGCGGCAGGGCGTGGTGCTAGCCAACCCACCCCCTCGTGTACCACAGTGCCGGCCTTCACAGGTGCTCGCTAACAGCACTTGCCCCAACAGTCTACTCAGGCTATACGTGAGGGATCTTTGTCTTTGCATAGGGATGGGGGGGGGGGCATTAAAGACTCTCGCGAGATCCATTGGCTGCGCACGCGTTCCCTCGCCCACCACGTGACTGCTGACCGCGCCGTAACGGGATTCAACGAATCGGCGACACGTTGAAGGATGAACGACGTTCGTATCGAAGGAAGCCAATCAGCGTCAAGTGGGCGACCTCACGTGGGGGGGGGGATTTTTCGATCTACAAACCGTCTCTTTGGATTCAGAAATCACGTGATAGGAATCACTTTAACGATTTTTTTTTATAAATTATAAATATCACAGCAAAAAAAAAATCGGTCGATTCCCATTTAAGCGAGCATTTAATCCAGTATTCCTTACGTGAGCAAAGCCATGCCCTTATTACTCCATGTATGGGCCTACAGCAAGCATGTCCGGCCCGCGGGCCAATCACGGCCCACGGTCAGATTTTATACGGCCTGCAGCTTCGGTCTTATAATGTGTTATTTATGGCTCGTTAGCGCTGTCAGAATAAAAAAAATCATAAAACTTTAAAGATGTAATTCCTTCTTCCGCCACACGGTGGCAGCACCATTCTAATGCTATCTGGCTCTGCATCCGTGCCGCGAAACCTTCTCGAATAATTCTGCCATGGCGACTGCAAAAAAAAAGATAAAAGTTGACAGTGAGGGCCGCTGCTTTCAGGAGCGGTGGGAATTACAATACTTCTTCACTGGAAATTAAGGAAATTATGTTTGTCTAATTTGTAAAGAGACGGATGCCTTGTTTAAGGATATCAACGTAAAGAGACACTACGAGACTAAACATGCTACAACATACGACAAGCTAACAGGGAGTGACCGCGCTGAAAAAGTAAAGCAACTTCAAGCTGCTCTGGCATCGCAACAGCGATTCTTCACGCCGGCCTGTGAGTCAAAGGAAAACATCACCAAAGCCAGCTACGAAGTGGCCATGTTAATAGCTAAACATGGCAAACCTTTTACTGAAGGTGCGTTTATCAAAGAGTGTGTCATAAAAATGGTGGAGAACATTTTCCCCGAGAAGAAGCAAGAATTTATGAATGTTTGCCTGGCACGCAACACTGTGGCACGGAGAGTTGAGGACATATCGTCAGATATTCAGAGACAACTGGGGAACAGGGGAGTGTCTTTTGATTACTTCTCATTAGCCTGCGATAAAGCACCAATGCATCTGACACTGCACAACTACTTATGTTTTTAAGAGGAGTTGATGACAACATGAACGTGACAGAGGAGCTGCTTGACCTCAAAAGCCTTAAAGGGCAAACCAGAGGAACATATGTATTCGTTTCTGTTTGTGAAGCTGTTGATGATTTCAAACTACCACGGAGTAAAGTTTCTGGGATCATTACCGATGGTGCACCTGCTATGGCTGGTGAGCAAAGTGGATTGTCCACACTGATCTGCAATAAAGTCAGCGAAGAAGCAGGCAACGCTATTAAACTTCACTGTATCATTCATCAGCAGGCTCTCTGCGCCAAACATCTCAAATTTGACGATGTTATGAAACCAGTGGCAAAGGCAATGAATTCTATTCGCTCTAAAGCTCTATACCACCGACAGTTTCAGCAGTTCTTGCGTGACATCCAGGCTGAATATGGTGACGTAATATATCACAACGATGTGAGGTCGCTAAGTCGGGGGTCCGCACTACAGAGATTTTTCTCTCTCAAAGAGGAAATTGGACATTTTTTGGATGAGAAGGGACAACCAATGGAAGAACTGTCCGATCCTGTATGGTTGGCAAATCTGGCTTTTTTGGTTGACATAATGAAGCATCTGAATGCGCTGAATGTTAATCTTCAAGGGAAAGATGCAGTGGTGAGCCAGCTATATGCTCACATCAAGGCCTTTGGAACCAAACTGCAAATTTTCCAAAGACACTTATCCCAAACAGAGCCCTGCACCGCGCACTTTCCAGCTTTGAAAGAGGTCATTGACAGTTTCCCACAGGACAACATCAGTGCGCAAATGAAAAGTCATGCAACAGCTATCGCATCGCTTTCTGTGGAATTTAACAAACGCTTTCGGGACTTTGCAGTTATTGAAAAGGACATGTTGCTTTTCTCTTCTCCCTTCTCCGTGGACCCTGATGATGCTCCTCCACAGCTGCAGCTGGAGCTCATTGAGCTGCAGTTTGACGATGAGTGCCGCGGGAAACACCAGCAGTGTTCTCTTGTTAAGTTTTACCGGCAGCTGGACAAAAGCAGGTTTCCAGAAATGCGGTCATTCGCTAAGAAAATGTTGAGCTTATTTCGGCTCTACATATTTGTGTGAGCAAACATTCTCCGTCATGAACTTAAATAAGAACCGATTTAGGTCAAGGATGAGTGACTCCAAATTGCGTGGCATTTTATGCATCTCAACCACTGTCCTCAAGCCTGACCTGGTCTCTTTACTGAAATCTAGATCTCAGTATCACCCTTCTCATTAGTGTCAGCAAGTTATCTGTTCCTTGATCAATCTAAAATTGAGTGTTTTGAACGGTAACATCTGTCACTATTAACAGTGAAAAGCCTAAAGCACACTAATGCACTTG